AAATAATTTCTGCCAGTTTAAATAATATATATCGCGTTTTAAACCGTTAAAGTGTTTTTAATGTCTACTATTCGCGTAAACTGCAGGCAGTATTTAATTCTCTATTTTCTAACATATTTCAGAAATAAATGCACAAACTACTTATTTTTCTATAGCTCACTACAGCACAAACAAGAAATATATTGTCATTTTTTGCTAGGTATCTGGAGTCTGGACATTATCTTTTTCTACATTCATCAATTTTTTCCGAAATATGTTCTACCCCATTGCGAATAGAAGGTATATTTTATATTGCGTAAATAATAAAAGACTGTTGATAAAAACTCGCTCTGTGTTGTTTATAAGTAATAAGGAAATAATAAACAAAATTACGCGGAATTAAAGGAGAACAATAAAGTGCTGCATTTTTAAGTAATGTTCGAAGATGCAACACGAGCGCATAGCGGAAATTTTTAGCCAACAATTTATGCTCACTATCTATTTACCTTGGGAAATGTTTTTCTTCTGACGTCATACAATATACATTCACTTGTGTCTAGTATTTGATAAGGTCTAACGAGACGTAATTAAAAATGTATATTTTTAACAATAGCTCTTGTTATAGGTATTGTATCTTCGTAAAAATGTTTAATATAATTTCAGCTGGTATATAATATTTATAAAAATGTAATCAACGTATAAACAAAATAACAATAAAAGAATAAATGAAATAGCACAAATACGTTAAATAAATAATTGTGCATGAAAATACTTATAAAATATACAATGGCAATTTTTTTAAGGGACTCCCTCGATTTCTCTGTTCTATCATCACGTCCAATTCTCATCCTGAAGCAACGTTAGATATATCTTCTTTCGAACACAAAAAGAATGATCAAAATCCGTTTATAAACGACTAAGTAATCGGAGCCGAACGTAAAGATATTTCAATTTTTAATTTTGCCTCTTCTGTTACATTTCTGAGGCTCTGAAAATGTTATTTTTTATTAGTAGTTAGTCATGAATCCCGAAATAAAATTATACTTTAAATATGTTTCAAAAAAATATGTTACGCTTATTAATTATTGAATACAAATCTCTTGAATCTAATATATAAAATTCTCGTGTCACAGTTTTTGTTGCCATACTCCTCCGAAACGGCTTGACCGATTTTGATGAATTTTTTGTGCTTATCCGTTATCTATGCGTATCGGCCAACATCAATTTTTCATCCCCCTAAATATTAGAGGTAGTCCACACCGAATTTTTATTTTTTATTTTTTAGACAAAAATTTTAATTTCTATTTTTTTATGATACAACATACAAAATTTTCACCCTTCTACGATCAACCCTTATTTTTTAATAGCCATTCTAATAAAATTATTTATATGGCAAAACAAAGTTTGCCGGGTCAACTATAATAGTAGTATTATAAAAACCTAATATTCTAAGTATATACACTTATTGGATCATGGACCACCAGCATCGCTACTCCATAGTAGCAATAACGTGTAGTTAAAAAAGTTGTTTTCTTTCCTGCAAGTTCCAAAATATAAAAATTTAAAAACAAGACAGGGGCGAGACTTGAACCGGCATCTGTAGCGTTCCGTGCAGCTGCTCCAACCAATTGATATACGGTATCAAAAATTCGCTATTGTTATCTCCCATGTGTAAGTTTCTCCGTCACCCTTCATTTTTGAATTTGCGTAAACAAGATCCTTTAAACCTTGAAATAACGACTTCTTCCAGGATCCTTATGAAACGCAACACTCACCTACTTTTTAGTATCAGATTTCCTTAACGGGCCGAGTTTTAAGAAAAACCACCCATAAAAGTAGTTTTTAGGAGTATATTTAATCGTTGTTCATTTAAAGGCTACACGAGTAAGTAATTATAAAAAGCAGACACCAATCTTCCTTGACACTGAAACGAGCGACTTCCGAATCAACTTAAGTCAACGTTATTGGTTATTGCTTGTTGGTATCGTGAGGGTGTAAAATTAAGTTACCACACGGACAGACATATTTTGTACCTGCCCCGTGCCATCATATTAATAAAAATAAAAAAAATTACACAGGCAGGACTTGAACCACGGTCCACTCATGGTCAGAGCAACAGCACGGACTAGAACCGGCACAACGTGTGCCAGGTTCAAGTGCCGCCCCTGTCGTTTTTTTTTACAGTCGAAATATTTTTGTATTTATAAAACATGATATATAAAATATATATGGATCCCCATCAGTCAGCGCAGTATTTTAGGCGAAAAAGTGGATACAATATTTATGTAGATAGGGTAGTTGAAGGTAGACAAAATATGTTCTTTCTTATGTCTTCTTCGTTATTGCGTTATAATAAAATAGTTACAACTGTGTGCCCGAGTATAATAAAATTTATCAATCATAAAAAAAAAACATGTGAATACTGTCTATAGTTAACGCGAGTAGTACACATTTAAATTTTCCGACGTTTCGGATGCTTTGCAGCAGCCGTGGACACGGCGTCCACGGCGGGCCGAAGTTAAAAATCATTTTCAAATAAGTTTAACTAATATATCGCGTTTTAAACCGTCAAAGTGTTTTATTTAAAAAAGGAAAACATTCTTCTCTCACATTTTGTATGTGTATGATTGGCGTAAATCGATTCATATTACTATAATTTCCGGGACTCGAACGTATAGTATCTTAAAAATGAGACAAAAATATTAGTCGTAGTTTGACTATCCATATCTGAATACTTAAAATTTAGGCGCCCAGGTCACTAGTGTATGGTTTTTGTAATGAGAATATTAAAATTCAAAAACGTGACGCCATGTAACGGTATTCGTCGGACAATGAAAGAGACGGTCCCATTTTCCCTAGGCTGCATTTTAATTTGACTTAAACTAAATTAATTCTTGTCTTTTAAACGCTACGTGATATTAAATTTAAAAGGTTCGTGATTATTGTAAGAAGCGGTGACACTGATGTAATTTTTACATGCTTGAGTAAACGCCGGCTGGGTTCGACTTCCTTCGCGTCCTTTATTATGGCATATCGGCCTATACATACAGAAAACTGCTAGTCTGTGTCAGTCACTTTATACATTCGCTGCTGAATCGGGTGTCTGGCTAAATGTAACTTTGGATTTATAATTTTTCTCAGAACCAACCCCAGTGTGGAGAAAGTATCACCATATACAATTCGGGCAGATTCATTTTTTTCTACAAATTCGTCGTTCGTCGTTCGTTGACGTGTAGGGCTCGGTAGCTCAGTGGCTAGACCAATAGCACGGAACGTTGTGGATGCCGGTTCAAGTCCTGCTCGAGTCATAAGTTTTTTCAATTTATAATCGATTTTTTAATTTATAAGGTTGAAATATATTTAGAATACAGTTCTTGAAATGCTTTCGAGTAACTGACTCTCGCCAGATTGCGGAAATGATGTAATTCCGGTCGACATTGGTTTTACACTTATTTATGTGTATCGAGGCCGTCCAGACATGTCACTTTCAACAATCACCATGATGTAGACCTTTAATGAGGAAGGAGTTAATGCATCCGTACCAATCTAGCACTTTTATATGCGGCCGCTAGAGACAGAGTAGCCTAACTGCAATTTTATGACTTGAGTTATCTATATTTTCATAATCTAAAAATTTTAATCTTCAAGAGCACAGTGACCGAAAATTATTAACATAATTCCTACACAAATAATAATACAAAATCATTTTCGCCTAAATTAATTGCGCATTTTTATTTTCCCCCTTTTTGAAAATCTCGGCCTCTAGGGGCCTCATATAATATTGCATAGTGTGATACCCCGGTTTTACACAAATATAGTTATAGTACTACTTATCTTCTAGAAAATATGCCATAAATATGAATTAGTCGTGGTTACTATAAACATTATTTACGGACCTAACAAATCTATGTTTTAAATATTACAGATTTAACGTGCATATCTTTTACATAAATCAAAACATATGTTTTTAATGGTATATTTTTGCATTAATACAGGTGTAAAGATGTAAAGACTGTAAAAGTGTGACTTATATGTCTGAATCATTTTATTATTTCTTATCTTCTCCGTAACTAATAATTAAATTTAACAGATTTTTCATTTCAAGATTATAATAATTCATAAATGGGAGTAAGTATACTTAAGAACTGTACCAATAAAACTTACAAATATTTGTTTCGTAGTGTATGAATTTCTTTTACAAACGATACGAGACAGAAGCTTTTATCCTAGTTATATATGTATCTTTATTGTATAACATAAGCTGTGAGCTTCTTCATAAATTTTACGACTAATTCGCTGACTGGAAATAAACAAGCAACTACTTTTCTACGACATATCTAAAATAGTCTTTAAAAAAAATCTACAATATTCTTATTACGAAATATAAGATTCTAAGGCCCTATTACGATAAAACATTTATAAAATCTTAAATTTTACTAACATTAGACATTAAGCGTCTTTTCGCATTTTTTTCTTGCTTTTTAATTGATTTACCTTTAGTTATAGCGTATATATGTACTCCTTACGTCCGAATAAAATGCGGATCGTGCCTAAAAAGGCTTCGACCATAGGGTTAAAATATATAAAACCGAAAAGTTTAAACGTACTAATCTCAGGAACTACCCACATGTTCAATATATAAAGTTCGTTTTGTCTTGGTTAGTGCATATATCGACCTAATACTTGGTCGATATATAAAACATCCCGCAGCGACCAATAGAAGCAAAGAGACAAACCCAAAAATATTTTCTAGATACCCAAAAATATGTATGAAAGAATGATTCTTCTTTAAATGATCTAAAAAAATATTTGCAGTCTATCTTTTAAAATTAACTTATAAGAACCACGCGGACGACTTCGTAGGTAACAGCTAAAATGTATGAAGAGGTTTCGAAAAACAAATTTTGACACCCTATAACCATTTTATGCGGACGAAGTCGCTCGCACAGCTTGCTTAGTGGTGTAATAAAGGTAATATATATTAACAAAGTTAAAAGAGATTTTTCTCTCACAAATCGGATCTAATAGTACATTTCTAATATAAATCTCACGGCCTCTGCGTACGCGCACATAGCTAAAGTTGTCGCATGACTATTGCAATGCCCGTCCATGATATCGTGATCTCTACTGCGATTCAACTTCCATTTGCGTGGCTTCTGCTGACGTATCATGTAATTAGCATCGTTCATGATGAAGCCGAAACAGCCTGCTGAAACCTGAAAGCGTTTGAGTCGTTGGAGCCAGGGCCCGCTGAGGAATTGCTCGTGGCCGTGCAGACCACATAATGCAACTGAAAATGGAATAAGAATAACTATGTACAAGGGCAGGGAAATATGTGAAAATTACACACATTTGAAACAGACTTTTTTTCTGGAGTAACCTTGAAATAGTTGCCCCTTTCTGATAAAGAAAATGTACACATGTAAATATTTTTTAATTGAATACTGTCTGTAGTTAACGCGAGTATTCCACATTTAAATAAAACATTTTAACAGTTTAAAACTCGATTTATATTAATTAAACTTATTCGAAAATTATTATGTTTCGGATGGATTGCAACGGCCGTTGTCACGTTTAAAATAATTATGATATAATAATTGGTTATGAAATTTTGACAGTACTATATTGTATATGTTACAATACGTTTTTAGAGTTTTGAAATACACTTATCTATATATTCTTTTCTATACACTTAAGTTATTTTTAAAGTCATCATATAGTTTTCATGACATAATCAAATAATGTATTTTTTAGCATTATATATAAAGGTCCAGTAGGTATTACTAGCTGACCCGGCAAACGTTGTGTTGCCACATTAAAATGATTAAATTACTAAAACGGCTATTAAAAAATAAGGGTTGATCGTAAAAGGGTGAAAATTGAGGATTGTATGTATTTTTGTATGTTATATAATAAAAAAATAGAAATTAAAAATTTTGTTTAAAAAATAAATAAAAAAATTAGGGGTGGACCCCTAACATTTAGGGCGTTGGCCGATTCTCATAGATACCGGATAAGCACAAAAAATATCATCAAAATCGGTCAAGCCGTTTTGGAGGGATATGGCAACGAAAACTGTGACTCGAGAATTAAGTAGAAGTTTTGAGTGACATACTTATTTCCAACATAAGATCAATTAATCCATTGGCAAAGTTATGCTTCTCAATCGATTCAGCTTCTACATACAGCATGGAGCAAAATCGATTCGTCAAGTACTGATCTTCGGCTGGTGAAAACACCGAGCAGCCGTGACTAAATCGAGCCATAGACATGAACATCAATCTGTGGATCAATAATTAAATAAGACGAATTTAATAGGCCACTTTTGATTAGGTTAATTTAAAAGTAAATAGATATGATATCTAAAACGTTTTTTTCTAGAGAAGGACAGTCAATCACGGAGTTCACTTGATAGAAGCTGGAATGGCTGGAATACAACTATACAAGATCATCGGATTTGGATCATCGGAAATCCATAGACTCATAAAGCTTCACGGCTTTTTCATCTGTGAATGATGGTTCGTGATGAATGTCGACATTCCTACCATCCCCATTTAAAATACAGATGTCTAAACAAAGTCCAACATGTTTCAAAAAAACTATAACTTTACTACTATTATACCGACAAGCACGTCAAAAAGATCGTCATGATACATTACTGTCACTTAACTTTAAATAAACGATATTAGCAAAATCATTCAAACGACTTTTTGCTGCTTCATTTGTTTTGATTTTTGAGTATTAATTTGGTAAGGAGTTAGAAAAGTAATAGTTGCCATGATCTTACCTGTGTGTAAGCGCATATCCATAATTCGTCCCATTCTTCAATACTTCTTCGCATGATCTATTGATAGTACATTTGGTGGAAGTTCTACTATGAAGAGACATATTTCCTAATGATGCCAAGCATTCATCTAGAATAGAATAAGCAAATAGACGAATCATTTACTGAACCTTAAACTTATATTTTATATAACAAGGACTTTTTGGATAGTCTATAATTTATATATATACAAAGCCACTTTGTACCCCCAATGACGGAGTGAAAACAGGCCTTCACGTGGCGAGAGTTTTCTTCTGTTTAAGTAAGTTGATTTTGTATTAAGCATAAAAATAATGGGATATAATAGATTAATATTTGTATATATACCTGATTTTTCTGGGCTGGGCACATCTTGGTCCACTGAATCTATTTTAGATACATATATCGGCCAGGTGGAAAGCATATATTCAATCTCATCAGTTGTGTGACCTTTCAGCTTGGAGAAACCGAAGCTTACTATTCTTTGAATCCATTTTGTTTCGTTGGCGAAAAGGTTTAATACTAAAACGAGGGGATTTGTGCTTAAGCATTAAACAAAATTTAATAAACTTAACTCAATATAATATTAATAGAATAAAGACAATAAAACAGTCTTATACCGTAAATCTCATCTAAAATGAAATTAATTACTAAATATTACTTAAAATGTAAATAAACTAAAAAAATATATACTGTCTATAGTTTACGCGAGTAGTACACATTTAAATAAAACACTTTAACGGTTTAAAACGCGATATATTAGTTAAACTTATTTGAAAATGATTTTTAACTTCGGCCCGACGTTTCGCTGACGCTGCAAAGCATCCGAAACCGTTAAAGTGTTTTATTTAAATAAAAATATATATATTAAATATGGAAAACGTTTTTCCATATATTTATTGAAAAAAAAACTGCAACTTTGTATTAGCTACATACATATATTTTTTTAATTGAATACGTTTCGCATGACACGGGCGGGACTAGAACCCACGAACGCTCTGTTAATCTACTAGGTAATCAAGTTCCCGTGCCTATTACCCGCCATGGGTTCGAGTCCTAGCTGTGTCCTATTTTGTTTGTTCATATAAAATAAAAAAAGCAATGATTCAACTTCTTAGCTAAGGCATATACTGTAGTAAGTGTTCATTATTTTTGTTTAATTTGTATCTGGACTCACTCAACTTATCCGCATCGCTAATATCACTGTAGTCTTGCTTCGCCCTTCGTTGAAAAAACTTTATCATACCATCATTTGTAGTAACGATTTCTTTAATTAAATTTCGCCCGGACCCACTCAGATGCCGTCTTTCTTTAATTAATGCGCGTCTCAAATTAACTGTGAAGATAATAATGAAATTGAAAATCACTAGCTATTAGCTAAAAACTACATAGCGTATAAGCAATATCTTGGACGTTTAAAAATTACCATTCGTTAAAAACAGTCCAAAATAAACATTCATGTCTACTTCACTAGGGTTTTTATCGAAAAACTTCGCCACCCTATTAATAACGTCCAAATAATTGTAAAGATTAGATCTGATTGGAACATTTAACGTTTTCTTAAGGAAAGGATTGTAACGAGGGGGTCTATAACAATTTATAAATCTAAAATTGATGGACAAAAATAAAGTTGATAAAAGTACTAAAAATTGAAGAATGCGTAACATAATTGAAAACTGAAATCAGCGTTTCAGCGTACGTTTTGCAGTCAACTAATTTCCATGCCGTAAAGTAACCGCTTTTATCTCCTACGTCGCTAAGGAAATGATAATCTTCATATTAATCAGGCTTTATTTTCAATTTTCTCGTGAAATCGGAGAGATAAAAATATATTGTGTACTTGAACTATGCTATATACTGTGGGTGTACGTGGAATTATTTGTTCTTTTTCTTTGTATTGGGTAAATCGTAATCAAGATAATTATTTGAATTTTTATAATTTTCGTTAACGTTACGCTTGCGACACTTATAATTGTTTATCTACCGTTATCTAGAATTAACAACAAACAAGCAGAAGTGTCAGTGATACAACACTATAATTGTCCACCACAACTATAGGGTTAACACTATAGGGGTAAATATTCCAACTGACAAGAGATATTGTTTGTACGGACATACACAAGTGGTGTACAAATCGTTCACAATGTAAATACATTTATATTCTTGGTATAAATGTGAGAACCGCTTTCCAAGTAATTGAAATGAAGTGAGATGCTTCAATCGCTACAGGCGGTATTTCGTTTTTAGAATTCCTCAGAAAAATGTTTTACGCAAAGCTTGTAATATGATTATGTTAAGTTAACCAAACAGTGTTATTAAATAACTTAATATTGCACACACTCGTGTTGATTGTAAAGTATGGTTCATGCAATGTTTATTTTCAAATTATATTTTGCCATCATTAGGTATTTATTTTATTTATTATACAAGCCCTGGGCAAGGCATAAACAAATAATATTGCCACTGACCAATGTATTGCTTTAATGTGATTTTTTTATCACTTTTTACATCAATATTAGATTATTTCTTAATCTGTGGTTTAAACTGGTTTAAATAATACTTATATGCCAACTGTCAATGTCATCATTTTAGGAGTTTTGAACTTTGACATTATTCAATTTGTTTCTTCGGTGACTCGGTGGTTGTTGATGTTGAATTATAAGATAAAACTTTTAATTCAGTAAAAATGGGATTAGCAACAGTAGTCGAGAACGAGGCGCATTTCCAATCTGAAATGGCGAACGCCGGCACTAAATTAGTCGTTGTAGATTTCACAGCGACTTGGTAAGCATAACCTTTTGTGCTTAACACATCAAAACCTCTAGTCATCGTCCAACTCGAAATATGTTTTAACATCGTTTTTGTTCTTTTAAGGTGTCCACCATGTCAGAGAATTGCTCCCTTCTTTGAGCAGTTACCTGCGAAGTTCCCGCGGGCAGTTTTCTTGAAAGTAGATGTAGATAGATGTGCAGAAACAGCTAGTGCACAGGGAGTCACTGCGATGCCAACTTTCCTATTCTATCGTAATAGAGTAAGTATAAAACGTTTATAACTAAAAGTAAGTAGTAGATAATGTTGTAACAGCATAATAATTTGCATAAATTTTCAGACAAGGATTGACCGTCTTCAAGGTGCTGATCCTGGTACTTTAGAGAACAAAGTGAGACAGCATTATGGTACTGATGATGCTGGAGATGAAGATAACTCGGTCGCTGGTCATGTAAGTAGAATTTTTATATTTTATCTCAGTATATACAAGTTATTTTATTAGCCTTTAAGATTGTTAGGTGGCATATACGCCCTTAACCACTTTGCATCCTGAATCATTAAAAACCATTTCGTGCAAGTTATTTAAAATAGTATATTGTAATACTTCAAACATATACTGACTTTAGTATGCACTAGTTTTAATAACTAAAACTGACCCTTTACAGATGGATTTGGTAACATTTATAATGAAGAATGAATGTGAGTGTTTAAATGAGGCTGACAACCATCCTTTAGCACATGCACTGACCAGTGGAGGTGGATACCTAGCCAGCGACTGTGATGAACAGCTCATTATCAATATATCTTTTAATCAGGTAATTGAAAAAGACTTCTTTTTATATAAATTATAAATTGAAAAAAAATATATATATATGACTCAGGCAACACTGACCGAGATCCAGTGTTCCACACTGTCGCTCCATCCAATTGTGCTACACCTGATTAAGTCCTGCCCGAGTCATAAATTCTTTTCAATTTATATAGTGGCATCATATGCAATAACATGTGAAAAATATTTGTTTTTCAATGAATCACTTTACTTTATTCTCTACTTTAATAGCTTTAGCAACCAATTCTTAATACCTTATTAACAACTGTAATTTTTGAGTTTAAGAAAACTTTTAATATAGTGGCTAACCTAGTTTCAATGATTGTTTCAGTTAGTGAAACTGCACTCTCTGAAAGTCAAAGGACCAGCAGATAAAGGGCCAAAGGTTATAAAGCTATTCATCAATCAACCAAGAACGCTAGATTTTGATCAAGCTGCTGGCAATGCTTCCATTCAGGAATTGGAGTAAGTTACTAATTATAATACTGTCTAGGAAGTACCCTACTTTTGTCGAGCAAGTTATGACTCATAATAGATCTTGCTTGATTCCTCTTGTCAATATGTCATTTTTATCTTATGGACCTTTTCTCCAAACAATTACTCAAAGACTAAAACAAAATACTTTGGCTTTGAAAAAAGGTAAAATCATTTGGCACTTTGGTATTACAAGCTATTTAAATATTTACAATTCTTATTTAATATTGGCACAGAGCAATTAAATTAGCTATTATATCAGTTGTAGGTTTGAGCCCCATCTGATCATCAATATTATTTTTATAAATATTGATAACTAATTTCTATAATCACATCTTTCAGATTAACACCAAGTGATCTGGAGGGAAATCCAGTGCCGTTAAGATTTGTTAAATTTCAAAGTGTACAGAATATTCAGTTGTTTATAAAGGACAACCAATCTGGTGACGAGGTGACTCAAATTGACCACCTAGCTTTTTACGGTTCACCGATTTCCACTACAAACATGGGAGAATTCAAACGTGTAGCTGGCAAAAAGGGTGAAAGCCACTAGCCCAGACTTCTGCAATTATGCCGTTAAATTTGAAGCAACATGTCTATTTGAAAATTTCCTAAGTATATACTTGGTAAATTTAGACCTAACAATGCTAGTTGTTACAAAAAAATTTCGGCAATTAATTGCAAACCCAGTGATAAACTTTAATTTAAAATGTTGGCATTTTCTCACTGTTACACTTCACAGTAATAAAATATATCTGATTGCATCAAGACATTAATATATTTCCTGTATTTATATCTAAGCATACAATTTGATGTAATTGGTCAGGTAGGTGTATTTGTATATGAAATAAATGAAGAAATTTTAAAGGTTTTTTTATTTATTTCAGTCATCTTTCAATTCATATATTTGAATATACGCTTCAGTTAGGGTAATCATTTGAGGTAAAATACTAGTGACATGTAGATCTTGCATTTCATACCTGTAAAATAAAAGATATGTAACTAATGTTTTGGAACACAACACACACTTTCATTTTAATATTTAAAGCTTCCATTTACCATTGCTGTGTCGGCTTATGTAACACATGTGCTCTGTAAGTGCCTTTCTCTGGAGTACCATCATGCACTATATTTCCAACGAGCTCGTAGGTTGTCTTGCCTTTGTACTTTGCCTTAATTTCAGGTGTCAATATATCTCCAAAGTCAACGTTTCTATAAAAAAAGGGACCACAATTTTTTTTTTACTAAAAATAAATTAAAACATCAAGGACTATAATCTTAGATGTGAAAAGAAGCTTTGCCGGAAATTAATTAAAAATATTACCCACGTACAATACTACAGTTAACTATTGTTGACACAACTAGTACACATTTAAATAAAACATTTACCGGTTTCAAATTCGAAATACACTCCACGGTTGCTACAAAGCGTTCCAAAGCTCAGACTGGTATGGAGTGAAATAATTAATAAATAATTAACTATTATATTTCGCGTTTCAAACCGTTAAAAGGGTTTTATTTATATACTACAGTTTACCACATTTCTTTGTCTTTTACCCACCCTCATTATGCATATGCTAGGCATTAGCCTTAAAAGAGTGCTCAACTCAGTCTCTTAACATTATTTTAATGGATTATGTTCAAAGTATTATACTTCATCATATAGACCAAAAGCTAAATTTGTAGTGTATAAAAAGTAAAACTTACTTGACAGGAAAGTTAACAACCGTTGGATTCTTTTCAACAAAGAATGTGTTCTTTGTGAATCTCTTGATGTACAGTATGAGATAAGGTGGCAGCTGTGTTATTTCAAATCTCTTCAGAAAATTCTCTTTGTAAGTCTTGTATTCTTTTGATGTTTGACCATTGAATTTGGAAAGTAATTGATACAGGTTAACCTGAGGAGAATAATATATTGTTAAGTTAATGTCGATTATATTTATAGGATTTATTTTAAATATTAGGTAAGGTTTATGTTAGCAAGTGATCCATGGCATAAATAAACCGTATGGTTCTCATGCGTGGCAAATATGTATATGTAAAAAAATATATATATAAATATGGGATATTATGAAAAACTAAGATAAATTCCAGTAAAAGACGCAAGTAGTACACATTTACAGTAAACACTTATAAATACCTTAAATAATATATTTCGCGTTTTAAACAGTTAAATTTTATACAGAATGGCACTACACACACATATTAAAAAAAAAAATACTTTTTACACTTAACAGATAACAAGTCAAGTTGTTACTAACTTGGGGTATAATATTCTCCCTAAATTCATCTGTGAATAATGGCGTGGGTGGCAAATCGCAGGTTAGGTAGAGGAAAGGAGATTCTGTTATCATCTCATTATACTCTTCACTGGTGAGGTCCACTTTGGCTGCATCATCAGCGTCGGGCGGTGGTAATTTTCTAAAGAAAAGAATTTCATTTTAAACGTGCTGTGCCAGCGACTTCGTCCGCTAACAATATTGATTTTGGTTATCCAAATTCCTTTATCTTTATACTAAACTTAAGCTGTTACCCACAACGTTGGTCGCGTCGCTTCCCGTCGTTCTTACAAGTTAAGCAGCGTACGCATCAGAAACCTACAGAGATGAAAACTTCCCCCCTTTTGTTCATATTAGTTTAGCGCGATATTTATAGCTTACCTCGATAAATGCTCTAACTAACACAAAAATATTTTTTCAATTCGAACTCGTAGTTCCCGAGATTAGCGCGTTCAAACAAACAAACTCTTCAGCTTTATATATTAGTATAGATTATGAAACATTACATTGCAAGTAAGAAATCTATAAAGACAAAAGGAATGTTTTTTATCTATGGTATTTGTGGCTTAAGAAAGAATTGTAACAAAGACACTATTGAATGACCCACCTGGTATAGATTCTCATATGTCCCAAAAATGATTTGTAAATGATTGAACTGTTTGGTTTCTTGGTACCGTTCAATGCCATGTGCAGCGAGTTCAAGAACCAAGACAAAAAGTCAATGGGGTCACCTGAAAAGTGATACAATCATTTTGTAATAAACAACATTCTTACAAACAAACATTATACCAATGCGTATACAACTTTATATAGGTTGGTTAAAAGGTTCAGTGTTATTTTTTTATGAAAACACATGAAGACTGAACTCCAACCCATTACTAAAACTGTATTAACTTAACCTACTTAGTCAACATACTAAGTCTTTGTTGATTAAAATTCTTAGCTGCGTAAGCCTTTAGAAAAGTGAGATCAATTCCTACTCCCCTTGTAAATTTTATAACTTAAAGGCCCGTATATGCATTATTATAATTATAAATATTGAACATAAGAGACAATGAAAAATAACTCACTCTGCTTTATAAACTGGAATCTCTTCTTTGACCATAATACAACAGCTTGTAGCATTTCATGTGGTGACACATGGGCCTTGAATGCGCGAGGGTTCCAAAGTTTTCTTAGCAGTTCTCCAAATCTCTGGACCAGCAGGAATGAGGAATCACCGGGAGGTCGCTTGACATTGGCATAGTTTTCTTCTCTTAAGAAGTAATTTCTTAGTGGTCTCACCTGAGCTAAGCACTAAAAGCATATTTTTTTTACAATTTGACATTTCAATCATAGTAAAACTTAAATATATTGTTGTATTTTGTATCTATAAATTTTCCCTGGGTATGTTTTAGGGAATACATGAAGCTATTAAACATTACAATAGTGGCGGGGAAACAGTGGAACAGGCAGAGATTTTTTTTTCTTTTTTGCAGGGTTTTTGTGTATGATAAAGTATTTTTGCAGCACATGGTTGCGTACGCTGCATAAATTAAACAGTAAAACAGAATTTTATTTTCTACACACCCAATCAATAAGTAAACACTACATATACAGACCTGTAAGATAACATTACAATAATCGTTAGCCTTAATGTTATTAAGACCAACTATACCGGGCATGTACATTGTGCCATCAATGGCCCGAGACATTTTGGTGTTGAAGTCTACTTGTTTTATCTGGTCTGGAGTGAAGATTGGGTTCAAGACATACTTAATGTCATTAAGAGAGGAATCTGAAAAAATAAAACAATTCATTGAAAGCAATGTGAATAAATATGACTGTTTTGATCAGGAAACAACAAATACCAAACTGGTATATTTAGGTCCATAATATATGTATTTATAAAGCCCAGATGTTACTTAAAATTATTCATACCTATAACTTCATAATTGTCCGGTAAGCAGTAAAATTTAAGTGTGTGTAAATTTAAGAACACATGGTGACCATCTGCTACTGAATGAGTGTAGGCATGAGTATTGGTGCCTCTACCCTGAAAATATACAAGTTTTAAAGTTTGAAGTTTGACACAAAGATGTGAGGTCACGGGTTAACAAAATAGTTCATCACAAGGTATAGTTGCTGAATAAAATTAAGTAATTAATTATTAATTTCTAATGGGTCACCCATAGAGGCATTAAACATTGTCTTAAAACCATTCAACCTCACTGCCCCACAAGGGGTTATCCAAACTTTCTGGTTTCTTTGTAGAATCTTAAAATGAATTCCATTATTAATTTTTTAATATCTTGGATTGGACACAGAAATATGTCTGCCTCTTAACCCAGTTAGGGTCAAGTCTTTGCTTATAAACAGAAAAATACAACCATTGGCCCTGTACAAAACAAGCAAGTATGACAAGTTATAGTTTTAAAATTTACCTGAAAGTATTTTCCACATACAAGGCAAGCATACACATTGATTCTTGTAAGTGAAATAGAACAAAGTTTCTCAAAATCAAAATCCAACACATGCCTGTTTATTGTATCTAAGTATGGACACTGAATGTGTGCTTTCGTTGTCTTGGATTTGGGCTCTGAAAGTAAACATAAAAGTTACCATGCTAAGATGTTTTTCGAGTGGATGTAGTGATTATGTAAATTTCATTATTGATGGGTTCTTGTAAGTGACTCTTCTATACGCTAGCTATATCGTTTTTTTGCTTACACTTAGGTAATAAACGTTTATTAAACATTGTGTTTGAAATGTATACCGCTCACTTAAAGGTTATGTCCAACAGACTACTTCCGCGGTGTAATATATCGGATTATCCAGAATTACCAACGATACGCCACTTATATTTTTTTTAACTGATAGCTTTATTTACCTCCTGTCTCGGAACCATTATGGTCACCAATTTTTCTCTTCATTAATTGCTCTTCACTCATCTTTACCAATCTGCTACTTCACTGTACTTAACACACACATATGTATTTACGAAAATATAAGATTATTAATTCAGCACGCAGTTGAAAACATTTTATACAATTATACCCACTGATACCCTTTGATATCTCTTGTATTAGTATATATTATTTAAAAATCCTTTACTGGATGGAAAGTTTGACAGTTAACATGGATCCCATGTAATCATGTATCTAAGAATTAAAAAATACACTACAGAGCATCACTTTGCATTTTTTGTCGGTAATGTTTATTACATTGCAAAATATATTCATTAACAAATACTGCCCAAGTCCTAGCCAAGGGCCTTCTTATCATCAATGTCAGATATCAAAGATTTTGATTATTGGGATTTTTTAAGCCCAAGCTATACAAAAATTTAGGTATCATTTTAATTTTCGGCTGTGTGAACATTATGCACTGAAGAAGTGATGGCCCAAAGTCAACAGAAAACGTTGAATAGTTTTATATATATAATAAATACTATTCACATTACGAAATTGTTCAACCCCAAGGCAAATAATCAATCAAATTAAGAAGAAGAAGAAGAAGTTTATCCGTAAGGGGAAACTAAAGAGTTAATTGTCATAATAATCGATTCAATTTCTTCAATTGTCATTGTAGAGAAATTTAAAGCATTACGAAAATTGCGACTGAGAGTTGAGACTGACTATGGAATAGTGGTTAGTTGACTTTGATAATAAAAGCCTAATATCATGGAAAGCGCTAGAAATGGTAAACATGGAATGATTTGTAATTATATAGAAACAGTGCACGACTGTTAATTTTTTTAATGTTAATTGTCAAAATCAATTTTCATTTCTCATTTTACCTCAAAGTGATCACCTTTATTGATGTTTTTGCTTTCTTTATTTTTCAGCTAAAATGGCTATCCATACAGGACCTTTAGAGTGGTCCTCAATTGTTAAGCCAATTTTAACAACACTCTATGGGCCTTTTTTCGACAAAAATGATACAGTAGAAATAATTCAAGCGATTCTTAGAAGGTACGTAGTATTTTTTCTTTTTATGGACGTCGGTGCCGACACCTAGTGACAATCGATTTTCAGTTCCTAATATAACATATTAATTTGCAATGGATGCAGTATTGATCTGCGCAACAGTTGCGTGGTAATAAAAATTAATATGTTAGTACGTATTTCGTGATATATTTTCGCTGCGGCATTCCTGAGACTACTGTAATTTGTCTCCATCTTGTGGGTATGTATTTCTTGTTAAACACCCTTGGAAAACCACAATTATTTCAATTATACTTTCTATTGTGTTTTGTAGGGTAGTGTGACACTTTTTTGAATTTCAATTGCTTTTTATTTCAGTGAGAATGAATTTCAAAACCATGAAGAAACCTATGACCTATTTTACAATTGCTTTGCCTGCTTGTCAGCCCATTTCATCAGCGTTAATGCAAGTAACTGTAAGTTAAAATTTTTTTATTAACTGATAAATGTTATTTTTGGCCCTACAAAGATTCTTGTTAGAAGTACCAATTATAATCAAACATAAATTAATTGGAGGTTTAGTTTTTATCTTAAGCGATATCCCTGATAACTATAGTTATTTTTTTAATTTAATTAGTTTTATTAGCTACCTACATGGATCAATGATTGCAATATTTGTTAAATTTCATTGCTTACTTTTGGCTACACTAAAGTTCAATATATAAAATTAATATTAAAACATTCCAATTGTGAATTTAAAATTGATATACTTAACCTTTTTTTGCTCAGTACCTGTTGATCAACTCAGCACGGCCCAAGATGCACTCAGGATTATCCTGCAACAAATTCTCAAGACCCTTTCTAAAACTGGGCCAATTCAGGAAGTCGCTCCAAACACAATTGGTCCTGATGTTAACATAAAGCAGGTATGATTAACTCTAATTTAAAAAAGTGTTTCCGCTATAAAGCATAGGATAGGCGCTTGACTCAAATTGACTATATCTACACTTCTATTTCTTTAAACTCAAGTAAAATAAATAAACTAATTAAAATATTGACTCACGATTAAAACCAAGAAGCATTACTCACTGATTGTTGGTCAAACAATATAAGTATATTGCTATTAATAACTAGGCATTTTGTTTAGATGTTATATGACTAATTTATTTTAACTTCTTTAGTAAGTATTTCATTTACAATTGTACTAAATGCAGTGCAGGAATTATCCTGGATATCTTGTATTGTAACTAGATATTTACTAAAAGCTCAGATTGATAACCATGGTTTTTATTTTCTTTTAAACTATATACTAATGTATAATATATATAGTAAAACCCGCTTAAGACGATTTCTCAGGGACCGTACCAAATACGCGTCTTAAGCGTGAAAGCGTATTATGCGGGATAGGGAAAATAACACGTAAAACATATTATTATGTATTTTATTCTAATTTTGGTACTGTAAACAAAGGCATTAAATTATACAGTTATAAATTATGTACACTAAGTACTTAGAGTAATTATACATAATTGTATTATTAAAATATGTAGGCCGCAAAAAGATATAGGTGGAAGGATAGGGGGGAGGCCTTTGCTCAGCAGTGGGAAGTAGGACCTCCCAATCTGAATTTTTCTTTATTCTTTAAAATGGGCTTACCATTTTAAAGAATAACGAAACGTAGAAACTGGTAAGTGAAGCTCAGCAGCTAACTGAGTTTGATTTGTTGTTTGTGATTTTTTATCGAAAGTTTTCAATATCTCAATTCTTCTTGAAGTGACATTTCCTTTTGCTTAATTGTAGTCATATTGTAACTAACAAATGATGCATCAATACAAAATAATCGGAGCGCGCGCGCGACACAACATGTCAAGTCAAGAAATGACGATCGCGGCAAACGCTGTGCAGGCAGGGGGCCTCTCGGCTGGGTGGCGTTCGGGCGTATTAAACGGGTGACGAATAGTCTTAAGCGTTAAGAAATGTATGAAAATATGTCTTAAGTTGCAGGGACTGGACTAAAGTGGCGTATTATGTGAACAATCGTATTAAGCGTGATAGTCTTAAACGGGTTCTACTGTACATATATCTATTATGATTTTAAATTTATAGCTTCTGCTGCCAATAGTGGCACTCTGTGGAATTGACAGCGGTGGATATCCGCCCTCAGATCTCGTTATATTGAGTGCACTCATAAGGAACGCTAAATTACCACCTCATGTAAATGTGACAGGTTTGTATTTTTTTTTATTGAGACAACCTTTATTAATTATATGATATTCATGCAATTGCAAGATTAGAGCTTAACTATCATTTATTCTAATATATAAATTATGAAAGGCTTGCACGGCATTCCACATATGATTATTTTTCAGGCTGTTCGGCCGAAGTGAGCGAGGAGAGGTTCTCGACGTTTCGTCATGAGCGAATCTCGTCATCATCTCGAAGAATGATGACGATTACCTGGAGAACCTGCTCTGACTCACGTCCGCTGAACAGCCCGAAAAACATGATATGCATTTATTTTACGCGTTTGTCGTAGAAACTAGTTCTATGTGCATAAGATAAGTTGAACATATTTTCACAGAAAATCAAACGACAAAATCCTCAATAGCCAGCCCGATAACGTCTCTTGCATCACAAACTTCATCGTCGGAGAAGCAACAGCCGACAAATGCGCAGCGACGTTCGGACGCACTGCTGGAACAGCTGACGACGCCACTCCGTAGCCAGGTGTCGTCTGTATCGGCTCCTGTTCCGCAGAGCGCAGCTGTCACGTCCCCTGGAAGTAAGGATAGTGTGGAGAGCGCTAAGGATGGAAATGCTCAACAATCCTCTGTCGATATAAAGGTAGGTGCACTGTAGTGTATAAACGATTCAAATGAGACCCTATAAACGGTTTAAAACGTGAAAGTTATTAAATACACGCGTAAACTACAAACAATATTTAACTATAATTATTTCCAAGGTAACAAGAGATCTATTCTATACTCAACTAAAACTTAAACACTGTCTATAGTTTACGCGAGTAGTACACATTTAAATAAAACACTTTAACGGTTTAAAACGCGATATATTAGTTAAACTTATTTTTAACTTTGGCCCGACGTTTCGGATTCTTTGCAGCAGCCGTGGTCATGGGGAGACCGTCGTGGCGAAAAACCGTTAAAGTGTTTTATTTAAATCAACTAAAAGTTTTTAAAATTTTTGCGTTTTATGAACTACAAATAAATTTAAATTTAGAGCCTAGTACTTTAAATTTGATTGACCTTGGAATATAGAAGTGGGTGGCATCAACATGTGCGGCATTGCTGATGGAGCTAAGAGCTGGATCTGTGATGCTGAAGCTCTGTTCTTCCTTGCCATATCTGCAGCGTTACATGAACCGTTGGCAAACTGCAAAGGAGTCAAACCTAGCACCGCAATTTAACTCTGATGCCACACAGTAAGTACATAAAGCAGGTAATTCCACCTATAGTTACGAAAATTGTATGGAAATAAAAAGACGCATAGAAAAATATATCAATAATGAAATCAATAGAATATTTAAATTAAATATCATATTCAGCGTTTGTGCTGTTGTTCTAACCAATTGAGCTACCAACTTATTGATGCACCTTTAGCGCAATGTAATTTCAACCTTTACATTTGCGCATTAATTATGAAATAAATTAATAACCATCGTTTTGTTGCAGTCTCTACTTTATGGTGAACGAAATTGACGTGTGTCGAATGGCGTTGTCCCTGCCCTGCCTTGAGCCGTTCACTCCAGACCGTATCGCGACGCTCAGTGACGTCAGCACTGCTTGGCTACTTTGCGCGACAGCTCAGGTAAATAGAATGTTTAGTCTGTGTATATATATATATATATATGTATATTTATTTGCAAACTTAGAGACTAGAGACTTTAACATTTCTGAAAGCAATCCTAACAAGCCGGTCAAATTGTTTAGACTACATTTTAGAGTAAGCTTTCTTTCTTTTTATTACGATATGATTACGCCGCCTGCGATTAACCCAAAGTGATTCTGGGCCTGTGAAACTAAAAAAGCTTCATTTTTGCGGTTGCTTGCCAGTTGGTCGAATAAATCCTGCGCAAGTCTTTCTTCAGGGCGTCCTTCCAGCAATTCCTAGGCCGGTTGGGATTTCGAGATACGCTTTCTTAACACACCGATCACCTCTTCTCTCCAAATGGCCATTCCAACTGAGACTTTGTCTCCCCCTTTCTAATGGGTTCGATTACAAGTTTTCGGTTTTTGCCTAATTCCCCAGCTTAGGCCCAGACTTATATTTTCTATATTTTATAAACTAATGAAGGCCGTCATATATTAGAATGTAACAAACGTTATTTGATATGGTAATTTTTTTTTAATACAACATTTCACGATTTTTTACAATATTTAAAACCTGGTAAGCAAAATTTGTCTACTCATTTCGCTAGTACAATTATGCTTCTTTATGTGAATCTAGGCAACCCTTCATCAAAAGGACGAAGAATGCGAAGTCCAGACAGCAACTCTAGTCGAGACAGCGCTCAACCTTTACAACACTGTTGGGGACATTTTCAAACAATCTACCAGAGCAGGGGGTTATGTAAGTATTAGCTTAATTATTGAGAAATTATTATTATCCCAATTTTTACTATATTTTAGACATCTTTAAAAGTTTTCCTGCCATATATTGTATAGTATAGTATTATATTATTTTGTAGTATATATGACTTGCAATTATGTACTTAAATAGCTAATAATAATCCTAGGTCCCACCCAAAATCATATTGGGCTCAATTTGTAAATATTAAAAATATCTGCAACATTTTACCTATAGGTATACCAAAACCACTTGATGATCGGTGCATGGGTGCTTGTATGTGGACTGCATCATTCCCTGGGCGGAGCACCTGGCCCAACGCCGCCGGGCAAAAGTCCTGCCAAGGTGCCATCCAGGCCTTACAATTTAACAAAAATGTTAGTAGTATTAAATCTTTAGTTAGCCATATTTGACTCTTAACATTTCATATAATAAAACATACTAATTATAATAAAAAAAAAAGTCTTTGCAGTTATTCAAAGCCAAAGTCAAAAATCATGTGTTTTGAAGATAATTAGATACATTTATGAACGTTACATCCGTTAGAAACTAAAATTTCTACATTTACATTTACTACCAGTTCTCTACTTAAGGGCGTAGAACGAACGGGAAGAACTGGCAAGAAACTCGTCGTCACTCCCCTTATTATATTTCCCTATTTGTGTCTTATCATACCCATATAATCTAAAGTCTAATTCCTTTCTGCTTTGCCCTCACAAATAGTGTTTCTCTAATAATCTATGTATGCTTACAAAAGAATATTTCTATTACTCATAACAGGCAACAAGGTCTTGGCGTGGTGTGGGTGGCGCTCGGAGGGCGCTGTTTGGCCTGGATGGGCGCATTGCTAGCGGATGCGCGCCTTGAAGCTCTCAGTGCCACAACAGACTCTGCCTCGCAGGCTCCTGCGGCTACTCCAGCTCCGCTGCTAATATTGAGTCATCACACCGCTCATCAAAGGGAACTGCGTCTTCTATCAGCTGCACCCTTGCATCAGGTAATTTTGTTGTGAATTCTATACGATTTTGTATCGAAGAAGGAATGTTTTAAGAGAAAACACTAACAGCTTAAAACGCGAAATGTATTGGTTAAACATACTTGAAAATTATTTTAACACCGGTCCGACGTTTCGAAAGCTTTGCTCCCCTCAAAATAAATTTAACTAATATATTTCGCGTTTTACCAGTAAAATGTTTTATTCAAATGTGTACTACCCGCCTAAAGTACAACAAATATGTCAATTTTTCGATTTACTTTGAAGTTTTACAAGTTTACACTAATATTGATCGAATTGGAAGAAAATATGAGAACTTACTTTACTGAAATTAAAGGTGTGTATTTAACAGTTCTTTTGGTACGTGTGTGTAACAATCGTGCACGCCAGGCTTCCATGAATGATGTGATCGTATTCTTACATGGAATCCTGGCAAGCACGATGTTGCATGTTGTCTTCGAGGGAACCTGAAGAAAATTGTGCAAAAGCATTTTTATGCTTAATGTGCTCTATAAATTGCGTTCGTTCTACATGCAGGTAGTGATGTTATCTGGATATTTTCAGAACACCTTGCGATCTATGAAGCGAACTATAAGAATTGACAAGGCGTAATATATTATGGAATATTATGTATAGATCTTTTGTGGGATGGGTTTATCTAATTATTATTTTAACTACGACTTCTCATGTGTCATCATATTGTTTTGATATAGAATAACAAATAAGTTTGTTTACAGCTATTAGTGGCGCTAGGCGTGGTATGCTATCGCAAAGCGACAAACCTTAAACGCGCAGTGGTACAGAAGAACCAAGATGCCGATCCCGACCGCTCCGACTCTACTGTCTACTTCCAGGACATGATACTGTGCTCGGAGGACTCTGAAACAGATGATGGCAAGTGCTGGTTCAATCATCGAACATAAGTTGGAAACAAAATAAATTGTATCTTGTATATATGTGCAAAACTATACGGTAAAATAGGTTTGTTATAAAGCCTATTTTCTGTACATGAATACTTTAATTTTATTTCCTTTATTGTTTACTCACACCAAACCACTGATTTGTAAAAATTTTCGCATAAAGCTTTACCGAATCGAAGGACCACAATTGGTTTTTCTAATGAATACGTGTTTCAACAGACAGCGAACCATTATTTGGCTTATGGTTTGAATCGACACTAGTCGCACCAGATGCGAATGACAACGGCCTAACGCGTCTTGGCGCTGCTGAATCTAATGACGTTCCCGACAATACTCGCTCCCAGGGTATTGTACCAGACAAGTCTGAACCTTATTCGGTAAGTATTATTGACAAGTATTAAGTACAGCATCAAACAGTATTTCGTAAAAAAAATGTTTTCTATTTTTGTTACAGTACATTTCCCTAGCAACTGAAGTATTCAACTTACTCACTGACGAAATAATAAGCAGCGGATCTGAGCGTTTGGGAACAAGTGCACTGCAACTTCATGACGCTCATCATGCACTTCTCGCGGCTCTAGCACGAGATCTCGATAGAGAAACCGCAAGAACTGATACTGGTAATTAATAAAACTTTACTATCTTTCCTATTATTAGTTTAATATAATACCTACTATATATTTATACTTTTTGAGAAATGCCTTTGTTGCACAAGGATACTAAGTCCAGCAATGCTAAAGGCGCGAGGAGTCCTGGCTTCGAAAATCGCGAAAAAATTGTTTCTTTATATAGAACATTTATTTATTTATTTATGCATGGAAAATATATGCTCCAATTGTTCCTCAATGACTTGTTTACGATTTTATTTTGTTTTTATTTTCTTCGTTTTGATCAACTTTAACCAAATTATATGTTATCACAGGGACCATATCACCCTGCTTCGGTGCCAAGCTGGGTGCACTCTACACGTCATTCAGCTCAGCGCTTGTGCGTTATTTACACAACTTGAGTGGCTCACCGGCTTTTGCGGCACTTCAACCCTCGCTGCAACAACAGCTTGTTTCTACTGAACGAGCTAATATAACACCCCTTCAAGTATGTTAATTAATTATACATGTTGTGTTATCTGTAATGTGCTTTAGATTGGCGGTATAAATCCGACTCAAAGGACCATTTATGTGAACATTATCAAATGTTAATGAAATCAAATGATAAAACTAAATCTACAAAAGAAAAGAAGAAAAAGAAAAGTTCTAGTTTCTAAACTATAATAATTTTTCGCGTACAGGTGGGTCCACGAGTAGTGAAGTTGCTTGGCGGTATGGTACTGAACAAATCTGCAGCTGATAGAGAGAATAGTATTTTAGTGATGTGGCACAAATTGGTGAACACGCTGCAAGAGTGTGCCTTACAAGCTCAACCATCGCAGGACCATGACTATGAAGGTGAGAGTTAACAGATGGATATCTCTTAGATAGAAAATAGTACATAGTTTTTAATATTCCAAATGACGGACATTTGTACATGTGACTAATTTAATTTATTATTTCAGATCTAAACGTTGAACACGCTCAGTTGATGGTCTACTTGTTTCATTCGCTGACTCTGATGCAAAAGAAATCTGTACTTCTGTCAACTGCCAATGCTATTATAAAGGTGAGTCAATGTTATAAAAGACATATTAACCATAGTTCTTTGGTGATATTCTACTCCCGGCATTACGTACAGAAGTCTGTCTCACATATTAGACTACTGAAGCTTTAAATACAATAAACTGTTTTAGTAATATATTTTAAATATTTTCTAGGTTGTGGAGACATTAGGCATCAGTGACAGAAAGCGAGCGATGAATCTTGCGCCCCATCAACTTATGCTAACAACAAGACTTATGCTTCTATTGGAATATCTCATGAAACATTTGTACGACGCCCCACAGACTCTGTTGCAGCAAGTGAGTATTGTTTAATATACTCACATTAGAACATACAACATACAGTTCACTGTAGCGATATTAATATTATTTTTTTCATATATCGTTACAAAAATGTTCTAAAAATAAGACTTCTTTACCAAATATAACTGTTTCTGTGTTACAAGTAATATATTAAAATCCTTTGGTATTTTCAGATTGAATGGAATCTGGTGGTGGCGCCGGGGCTCGCCCAACCTTCATCCGAGTCGTCTTCTACAGAAGTTAAAACTACCACAGACAACGGCCAAATGAAAGCTCGCATTTACTGTGAAGTGCCTTTCATAGAAAAGACGTATAGAGGCCTGTCTCAAGATGAAACTTCGATGCGGCCCAAATTCTATGCTTTGACTAACGCTAAAATTAATAACCAGGTATACTCTAAAAGTTGCTTACTTAATTTAAGGTCCGCCCTAATTATTGATTTGTTGAGCTGTTGATATAGTTATATTTTTTACTATATTGTACATGGGATCTTAAAAAAACTATAGTTAGTTCTGTGCAATAGGCTATGTGGTCGTGGGTTTAATAAAGCCGTGATTTTTTTTTCAATCCATAAAAATATTTTGAATTTAAGAACAACGCTTTTAAAGACTTGGACTAAGGTTGTTTGTGAGCTACAATTTTATGTTAAAGTAATTTTCTTCTAGGAGAATCCCAAGTTTGACGGCCTTGCCTGTAATTTCGTCCTGGGCACACCGCATAAGCTAAAGTATCCGTTGTTAGTTGATGCCTTATTGTCCCTGCTGAACTGCGCATGCGTCTGTGACAACGCTAACAATCATAGTTCACTGACCGCTCGAGCTGCGGCTCATTACTGCTTTCAAACTGCTTGGCGGTAAGTATTATCGAAATTTTGACTAAATATATTTTATCCCGGAGCATATAATATGACGTTCAAAATAAGTATTTATATCGATTTCTTTTATATTAGGTAAAATCAATTTTTTAAGTTTTTACTAATTACATGTTCAGCCTGGTGATAAGCATGCCACCTGCAACTCCTCACATGGATAAGCTGCAAGCTGGTACGGCGGCAGATTTATCATCGCCGTTACCACTCCACGCACTTATTTGGGCCCCTCGTGCTGATAACAAAAAAGTTTTTAACCCCTGGCTGAAAGACGCTCTGGTCAAGCAGGGCATGTACACTCAGGTAAACATCTAATTTTTTATAATTTTAAGATTTCTAACTGTGATGTAGTTAGAAATGTGTATATGTAAACAATTATTTTTTATAAAATTTGCTAAATAGGTTAAAATTTCGTGTTCAATACATTTTGGTCCTTCGAGCCGCTTTTAGTATTATATTTCTATTTTACAGTATGCAGAGAATCTTTTAGCCGGCGTAAGTGCCTCTTGCGACAACATCAAATACACAGCTTGGCTTGCATCCGAAACAATCAAACATTTGAAACAAAATCTTTTGTGTAAGTATATAGACATTATGATGCTATTTAAACATGGTCGAAGCTGTGTTTGACTTTCATAGATCGACATTCTTTTGTTTAGATGTTAGATTTCAGAATTAGCCCTATCAAGACTATAACTAACTTTGCCTATTAGATTGAAGTGAATAATAATCTTGTAATAATCTTACCCAGGAAAGCAACGTTAACTCTTTCCTTGTATAAGTTTTAAATTTAATAACATGGATTTATTTATTAAATCTCTTGCAGCCAGCGGTTTGCCATCTTTAATAGACGTAATATCGTGCGACTCGGCGCTGGTTGCTCTGAAAGTTTGCCTCGTTGACGCGTCCACTGCATCTGAGGCTCATCCCTTTGTGCCGGATTTACTTGACCTTCTCGAAACGATTCTAGAATGTTGCAGGTAAATAAGCTTAATATTTTTTTTTATATTTGGAATTGTTCGTCCGCAGTTGCGCAGTCCTCGACTAAGCTGCGCAACATCTGATAATATCATTCACATGTAATAGTGAAATGACTAGAATCAAATCTGAATTACGGATTTGAAAATCCAAGACGCTTTATTTTGTTAATTTTTTTTTGTTTATTAATATTGTATGGAACAAAAGGTTTTGCTACTAAATATTACAAAATACACAGTCTAATTTTTCAATACCACCAAAGACAAAATGATTTAAGTTATAGCTTAGGTAATAAGGAAGATATCTTCACTTCCACAATCGTTTGTTTCGTGTTCAGATTGAGTACCAGCATGGAGTTAGAATCCCACCTGGAAGGTTCGATGAATGCATCAGAACGTGCAGTGTCGGATGTACGTTTCCGTGTGTGCGGGAGTTCCCCGGCGGTTGCCGCTGTCTGTGGAATGGGGGCTTCCCCGCCCGAATTGGGAACCTGGCTTCGTAGGCAGCTACCGCAAAAAGTGGCAACTCTGCTGGACTCATACGCCATACCGCCTTTACTCGCCAACACTGACATTGTAAGAATTTTCAGATAATCTCTGATTGAATACTTGCTGTTTTTAGTGTAGAAATGCATACATCGAATAACGTGTAAATCTCGAAGTAGGAAAATTTTCGTGTACAAATTGTCCCAAAAACAATGATAGTTTTTTTTTATATCTACATTCAGTAAGTAACTTCGAAATCAATATTCCGAAGCCTAAAAAGTATAACAGATACTAGTATGGACCACTGTGCTACTCGTGGAAGTTGCCTCTATTTTTAATTATTGATAATTGATATAGATAGTTACTTAGTTAATTGTTTTTTTTTAATACTAATAAATAATTGCTATGCGCCGGAAAGATCACCGTGCGGTGTGCATCGGCGATAGCTACGGAAGTTGTGCGGTCAATAGCTCACTGATCGGTATATTAATGTAAAGGGCCCGAGTCCGCGTACGCCTGCATAAACCACTGAGCTTACTGCTACCCGTTGCTAGCCCGTATAGTTCTAAAATATACATACATCCCTTTTTTCAGTCGGCGCATATTATTCCATCGGAGAGTGCGGTCCTCAACCTGATATCTTTTCACTGCGAGCTGATGAGTGGGAAACCAACGTACAGCATCATCACTTCCTTGATGATGTTCGCGTACTCCGCTGCCACTTTGCTCGAGGTGGGATCTTCGAAAATAGCGGACAGTCTGGAGCTTACCAGGAAAACTTTGGCGCTTATTATCCCTGCTTTGGTAAGTTATGGTTTTATAGTAATAAAGGTAATGTTTTTAGTTTGTAAAGCTTTTATGTTTTGTCAAGTATTAACCTGGTATGTAATGTGGATATAATAATAGATAAGCAAAAATCTTATGTTGTTTGTACCGCATATCTACTGCTGAAGCACCATAGACAAATAATATTTCAAGTAAATATTAATTATTATATATACTTATCATAAAAAAATGATGTTTTGTATCTTAAGACGAATTTCAGTTTTGAATTCTTCATATTATAGCGTACCTCAATATTGGATTTAGAGATACGTACATAATGTCCCAGACCCCTCATAATTCTACAAAGAAAGCATATGTAATATATAAGATTCTTATTAATTTATTGTAATTTTTACAGACGGACGGTCGACTAGAGTTCCTCGCAGAGCCATTAGCATCGACGCTCAACGCAATTGTACCGCAAGCTGTTAAAGCGGAAGAGATAATTCATGAACATATACTCAGAACAACGTATCCAGTTTTATGCGACCACTCGGCTTCTACTGAAACAACGCTGAGACATATTGTGAGTAATATTATCTAATTAGAATATAAGACTGATAATAGAACTAATATTTATCGCGTTTTAAACTGTTAAAGTGTTTTATCTAAAACATACACTTATTCCCCATGTATTTAATTACAGGTCAAATATTGGGAGAAGATATTAGACCGTCAAGCCGGGCGTGCCGCATATGAAGCGGTGTTCGTTGAAGAGGACGTTGAGTTTGTGCTTGGAAAGATTCTTTTGTCAGCGCCTAACGCCAGAAATCCATACACCGAACGAGTTATTAAGTAAGATTTTAAGTATTGTCTGTAGTTTACGCGAGGTTAAAAACACCTTAATAGGTTTAAATCGCGAAATATATTCGTTAACTTATATACGATTAAATTAACTCCATCCCGACGTTTTTAACGCTTTTGAGCAGTCGTGGTCACGAGGGAAAGTTTTATTTAAAGTACGGTTTTATTCAACTGTTGCTAAAATGGAACGTTTCATTAAAAGAGCTATGAAAAATTACTACGAGCACATTATTTAAATCCTCTCAAGGGATTTTTTACAGTTTCTATATTGTTTATTGATACTACAAATGTATTTTAACAGATTATTTATCAAGATCTTCGCCGGCTGCGAAACGGGTGAGCTGAGCCGAAGCCTCTGCGTAGGAGTTTGCAACTTTATTGGCGTGGCTGACCAACAGAAATTGATTAATCTTCTTAGCCACATTTGTACTTATGGTCCATGTAAGATATATTTTGTTATCAACGAAGTTTTCAAACTGCGCGTTTGCCTCATTGTGTTATGTTGTGTTTTATTTTATTAGGAAAAAGTAACAATTAATAATTATGCTCGTAAGCCTTAGTTATTAATTTGAATTGAACACGAACACCATACCTTAATTGGTACAGCACGGTACGCTGTGGTCGTGGGTACGAATATTGCCCGTGTCTGAAAATTTAATATTTCTGTATTTATTTATATGATGAAAATATTTTTTTTCTTTGCAGCAATAGTAGCGATTGGTACAGCAAATGCTACTCCCACAGAGACTGAGTTGCCAACGCCTACATCATCGGCTCCAGAAGCCAGCGGCAACCAAGCGTCACTCGCGCTGAGGAATGCGATACGTTGCGTATTGTTCCGTACCGAGAGCGACGCAACACAGCGCACTGATAGCGGCGCACGTAACGAACAAGACTTGCCCGTTTTCGAAAATCCGTTAGTAACTTTAACCATAACTAATTTTTTTATGGTAAAATGATACAATGGCTATTTTCATACATGTGAAAGAGAATCCTCGTTCAGTAACATGAAATATGTATTTTTTAGATCAGCTTCTACACCAAGGGTTCAATCTGAGACTGTCCAGCAAGCAGGAAATTCAGGTAAGGGTAATGTTAATAATTTAATTCATCTTCTATTCCAGGTTCTGCAAGTTCAGATGTAAAATGTATTTTTATTATAGTTAATAAAACGAGCAAACTTTAATCGTTGAAAACGCGATATATATTATATTCATGGCTGTATAGTTCAAAATCTTTTAAAACTTAATTAACGTATTTTGAGTCATAAACGGTTAAAAATGTTTGGTTTAACAAATACTACTCTTAAAAAATACTAACAATACTTATAGCGAACATTTTATCATAGCACGTACTATTACGAAATATTGTTATTCGACAGACCCGTGCAGTTGGTCGGATGGAAGCAAGGAAAGTAACGCCGCGACAACCGTTGCAGGCACAAGTAACATAGCCCCTGATGTGACCTCGCCTGTAACAGATGGCGCTGCCAACAACGCTCTTCTCACTGCGCTCTGTAAACACATTGTGCAACATTGGTTAGTGTTATTCTTTATAAATCATTTTACTGGCAACATTTAAATGAGAGTCAACTCATTTTAATTCTTGCCAGAGTCAAATGCGTAATAATAGGTTTTGCATACAATAACAGAAGAGAATAGTTTTTTTTTATATCACTACCATGCTCTTAGTTTGAGAATGAGTGTATATCAGAATTGGGAGCTGAACTATCTCTTAGCTGCAAAAAGTTTATAAAGTAAAAAAAAAACATTGTTTGACACTACTTTACAGTGAATTTTATTGCATACAATTTTGATAATGTCTTTTTAAAAAATGCTAAATTCTAGCAAAGAGGATGTCAGCGAGCGGATGCTGCTCGCGCTGATTGAAGTAAGTGGCGATGGGGCGTGTCATCCACTACTTTTGCAAGAAATGTGTCGGTTGGCTGACTCACATACGGGCGCTCTGCATAAGCTGCTGTTCCCGGCTGCACTTTCTTGGCTTGCTGCTTGGTAATACATTGGAATGCTTGGAATTGAACAATAGTTTCTACATTTTTTTTTACAAAAACAATGATAAAATCGTGAACTTTAGAACAATTAACAGACTGAAAAAATCTTATTATTATTATCAACCACCAAAAGTTTATTAAGTTAAAAAACTTTTGTGCTTCGCTGTGATTTTTAGTAATAATTTATGTTACATTATTTATTGAAAGTTACAATACTTTTTAGTGTTGAAGGCCTTAGCAGCCCGGAGTTACTTGAGAAATTGGAGGAAGGAACAATCGATGGCAACAACTTGGCTCCGCAAATTGAATCAGCGTGCACCCTATTATCTTATCTAGGAGACGCCCTCCATGCTATTGGCGTTTCACAGCCACACAGTAAGTATTACTAACAAACGATTAAGTTTACTGGATTATATTATTAAGGGTCAACCCTTACCATGGGTCAACCAGATTATGTCAAAGTCAAAAGTCATTTATTCACGTAGGTAATTAGGTTCACTTATGAATGGCACATCAGTTAAAAGCTAAAGACTAAAATGTTATTACCAGCTCTCAAATCAATGGCGTAGAACGAGCGAGAAGAACTGTCAAGAAACTCGCCGTCACTCCTTTTATCCCCAAGTTTAATTATATACATATGTAGTTTTAACGTACGTTCACGTTCAGTGTTCTTCCAAACCCTAAGCATTTTTATCGTTTCAATATAGATTAACGTCATAATAACCCTTTTAGAGCAGTTGTTGTTTTACGTACGGTTTAAGCTTATAAATTGACAGTGACTTGCACTTTGTTGGGGATTTTATTAAAATATCGTACACCTTAAATGTCGCACATGACCAATTACTGTGTCAGTAAAGAATTAGTATTAAAATTCAATAGTATTTGTGTGAATAATTTAATGTTCTCTGTAGCTTGGCGTTCAGTTAGCCCTACTTGGGAATCACCTTCAGACCTGGGATTCGATTTCGACTACACAGACGAACAACAAGATGACGATGACACAAGCGCCGATGATTCTGTGAGTATAATTATTGTCACCTTTTTAGTCACTAAAATACTTTATAAATTAAATTTAATATTTATTGCAATATTTTAAATTACTCTATAACTATTTAAGGACGAAGACGCAATGCTCCAATACAAGTTGTGCACTTTTACGGTGACTCAGCGCGAATTCATGAATCAACACTGGTACCACTGTCACACTTGCAAGATGGTGGACGGGGTAGGAGTTTGTACTGTCTGTGCACGCGTTTGCCATCGAGGGCATGATGTCTCGTATGCCAAGTTCGGAAACTTCTTCTGCGATTGTGGTGCTAAGCCAGATTCGAGGTACTTTAACATTGTTGGTTTAGATATAATTTATAAAAACGTATTGAAAAACGTAAATTGAAGTAAAGGGATTTTATAAAAGTAGGAAGAAAGGAGCTTGATGTGTCGCTTGAATTGTTATTTTTAAATATTTAATATAACGTTCATTATCATATTTGTAAAAGTAATGCAATAAATTAAAAAGAAAAAACCTTCAGTTGCCAAGCGCTCGTGAAGCGTTCCGTGACGTTGGGTGCTGGTCGCACTGCCGGTTCTACGGAAGAGGCCCCGCCTGCACCATCCCTACGCCGTCGGCCTTCAAGTCCCAATCCACCTGCTTTGTTGGCTCCGCCTAGGCGACCCGTTCTAGCCCATAATATACAAGGTATAATATACTAAATCAAATTCTATACTTATCAATTAAGGTAAAAATAGCCGCTTTCTGTAATAAGTTCAATTAAAAATAGAATGAAATTTAAAATTGATAAGAAATAACTGAAATAGTCGAAATATAGTATATATAGAAACCTCCTTAAATACTTCTAAACATATAACTACAGCGCCACCATTAAAATATAATTAACACATGTTTCATTATCAGGTTGCCGCTCATTCCTAGTGAATTACGATAAGTGGGAATGGTGTCTAGAGCGAGTACGTAACCTCGTGTGCGCACTTGCCGGGCCCGTCCGCGCTGCGTGTGAAAGAACTGCCGCAGTCGGTGCACATGGGCGAGCGCAAAGGGCACTCGCACAACTTCACCTTGGTGAAAAGAAATTCTCTCATACAGACTCCTTGATGTTACCTACTCTCGGTAAGTAATGCTGCAAATGGATCGAGTTTACTTTGAGCGACTCCTTTTACAGACTCTACCATTTTGTATCATAAATCTGTTTAAATAAAACACTTTAACGGTGTAAAACGCGTTTTAAACCGTTAGTGTTTTATTTAAATTTGTACTACTCGTGTAAACTATATACTGTATCTGGTTTAAAATAAAATTTAATTGTATTTATTTGGCCACAGTAAAATAATAATTCCTTACAGGATCCCAAGAAGGTGCATTTGAAAACGTGCGAATGTCCTACACGGGTGAGAACGGACAAATAATAAGGCAACTTATGTCTGCACACAAGTTACGACGCGTTGTTATGTGTTGCCTTGCTTCGCCACACGGACGCCGTCAACATCTCGCTGTTTCACATGAAAAAGGTAATGTATTATAAAGTGCTTGATCACAATTTTTGTCCTTCGAGCGGGAAATGCTTTATTTCAAACTATTTTCACTAATAAATTATTTGAAGCGGTTATATACACATGAAGTATTGATCACGTAAGTTAGTGTGTTAAGTAAACACAAAATATCTATGCGCGCTTTATGATTCATGAATAATTTGCAGGAAAGATAACTGTCCTGCAACTATCCGCTTTGCTGAAGCAAGCGGATTCGTCCAAGCATAAGTTGACGCTGACTCGCCTCTCGTCCGCTCCGATACCTTTCACTGTGCTCAGTCTGAGTGGAAATGCTGCTAATGAAGATCTACTGGCCGTCTGCGGCCTTAAGGAGTGCCACGTTCTTACGTTCAATAGCGGTGGTAAGTGGTCTTACTTTTAATTATTTGAAAAACGTGAACACGTTATTTCAGAAAGTTAAAACCAGCTTTTGTAATCGATTAATAATAAATATTACTTATAAAACAGGCGCAGTGGCAGATCATCTTGTATTAACTACGGGCTTGGAACCAAACAACTACATAATCAAAGCTATATGGTTGCCGGGATCTCAAACCCAACTCGCCCTCGTAACATCCGATTTTGTCAAGATTTTCGACCTCAGCAAGGACTTGACTAACCCTTTGCATCACTTCTTAGTACCGAGTGGAAAGGTACTGTTAAATTGTTATATCGTATATTTCTATTATTCTTTACTTCGTTAAGTTAGCTTTCTTTGGTGAACCGGCTAATTTGTTATTTTAAAAATCGAAAATAAATTGATAAAATTTTCGACTCGGGCAGGACTTGAACCGGCATCGCATCGTCAGCTTTCCGTGCTGTTGCTCTACCAATTGAGCAGCTAATTTGTTTCCAATCGTGAATAACAGTTTGTTCATTCTGAGCTATTTGAATGCCTAATATATATAAATATTCTTGTGTACCTTACGAAGAGTTGCTTATTTTGGGTATTCTATCGGGCTATCTGACAAAGCTTCATCATATAAATATAATATGTCTTATATTCTTCTTACCATTATGTATCAGGTCCGTGACGTGACGTTTGTGAACCAAGAAGGCGTGATGAACATGCTGTGCATGAGCTCAGCCGGGCACATCTACTGGCAGCCCTTAAGTGAAGAATCTCGCGCTACCCTCGGAACATTCTATGTCACTAACACTTTGGAGGTTTTGCATCCAGAAATACAGGTACTTCTTGTTTTAAATAATAAATAAGTATATACTTGTTTACCAAAGAATTGCTCATTTATTTAATGATATTTATTTACTTCACACAGAATTTGTTTTTTATTTACTGAATAATAACAAAAAAAATCTGGTTGTGACAAAAGCCCTTAATACAATAAATTGGTATCAATTTAATCGCCTCTTGCGCATCAGGAGTAAAAAGAACCAGCAGATCTAAGCTCCCTCGAAGCTTAAAATTCTTACACAACTCTTTTACTACAGGATGTCGCAGGTCTAGTGGGAGGTGGTGGTGTATCTATTTACTACTCCCACACATTAAAGATGCTTTTCTTCTCATATGCACAAGGGAAGAGCTTTTTAGCCCCACTAAATACGGTCGAAGAGAGTGTTAAAGGTAAGATAATAAAATGGTAAATATTATTTTTTCAAAAACGTACAACTCACTACCAGACATTTGAATTAATAAAAGTCATGTAGACTCACCTAAACCACAAGTATAATCCCACGTTCTAACAGGTACGGCTATGATAACTGTGTACGGTGGCGGCGGTGGTCCCAAAGAGGGTGGTCGTGGCAAGACGGGCGCTCAATCACTTGTACAGTGGGCAGAAGTACCCGGGCATCCTGGACTCCTCACAGCGCTGATGCAGGCTTCCAATAACCCGGTCGTGCTAATGCTCACACCCACTAATATATACGTGCAAGAAATTAAGGTATGTCGGTAGACAAGCCTTTTGGGCACAAAATTAAATAAAGAACCTAAATGTGTTCGTAATCGAAGTAAGTGACTTTAATAAAATCGATCCAGATCGTGCCAGCTAAGGCGAAGATAACTGACATGGTAGCTGTACGCCATTGGTGCGGTGGTGGTGAACAAAAGAGCACTCTAATACTGCTCTGCGAAGACGGAAGTCTGCGTATGTACGCCGCTAACCCGTCGCGCACAGGCTACTGGCTGTCGGGCGCGGTCCAACCGGTTCATCCGCCCCGTCGACGTGCACGACTCCCAAGACCCTCTCATAGCCACGCCCATCCACCGCGCAAACAACACCAAGTAATTATACTCCTTTTTATGACAGTGAAAGTCAGACAAATAGTCTAAAAGTGCGCCATACTTAAGTGATATTGTTTTGCAGCAAGCAACAGCAAAGGCAGGCGCTAACGGTTCACCGCAGTTCCCTATCGACTTCTTCGAGCACTGTGTCGCAATGAGTGATGTCGAATTTGGTGGTAACGACTTGCTTCAAGTGTACAATACTGCTCAGATTAAACATCGGCTTAATACCACGGGTATGTATATATAAAAAAAAAATAATAGAGATTTTGCAGTTTGTAGGGTTCCGAACTTCGTTCTCTGTGGGTCAAGTAAGTTACGAAGTACCGTTCTAGGTGTTAAAAGTTTAACAAATATACTACATAAACAATATATACTATAATCATGCTCATTTATGGAGCGGCGCTTAAACGCGAAAAGGCAATTAATGTCTTGTATACTGCAATGCTACAATACTGCACAACAAAAATGCTACAATGCTACAATACTGAACAATAATGCACAACATTAGTTCAAATCGCATTACGCTGGCTTATTGTATAATGTAGTCGGTTTAGGACACGGGTCAACCACTTCTAGAGCTATATCATATTTCTTAAAAGAATAAAAGTTACAGTTAGTTATTTGTCTCGCAGGGCTGTATGTGGTGTCTACTAGGATGAGTGGCTTCACAATGGAAGTGACGAATTCTGATCCTAACACGGTCATATGCGGAATTCGAGTTCTGCTTGGCAGTCAAGACGTCGCCAGAACTCCTACTTATGTTGAGGTATTTTTTTTCAAATGTATGTTTCAAAAGCATTTGGGTATTAAGTTCAAAGAAGATATTTTTCTTGCAATCGACCTGGTAACTAATAATTACATTACTGAACTGATGTGGGAGTTATAGGTGGCCATTTTAATTTCTTGCAATGGTTTTAGATATACGGCAGAGCGATGCCAACGATGGTGATCCGAAACCGTTGGTTCGATATTCCACTGACCCGCGAAGAGTCGCTGCAATCAGACAAAAAGCTTTGTATCGTCTTTGGACCTTCACAGGATCCAGATGGGGTCACCATGGTGGATTCCGTCAAGGTACTGTCTGCTCCGAGAGTGTATAAATATATTTATCTTTTATTTATGCTGAAGTGATTCTATATATATTAAGATCATTTAATCGATGATGACTATCCTCACTAGATAGCTAAATAATTACGAAACATTTTGATTTTAGGTTTATGGAAAGAACAAAGAACAATTCGGATGGCCAGAAGAAAACGAAGACCCATCTACTTGTCCATCTTCTAGCAAAGTAGCACAAGTAAGCCATACTTTTAATCTCTGATACTTAAAACCTGAACTGAACTGTAACTATACTAACATGTTGTTTCTTTTAGGAGTCCGAAGGTGTTAGCGGTGGTCCGAACAAACCTAGCTCTGTAGAGCGTTTAGCGTGCTCAGCGCTAGAAGCGCTTGAATTAGGCGCCGGAGCATCTGCTTGTACCGGCGCTACGGCTGGCGCTGAAGCCGCTGCAGATGCTGCTAAGAATCTGCTGTGCGTGCCCGCTACGCCGCTTCTACACGCTAGAGCGCAGTGTCTATTGCGTGCTGTCTATCAAAACAACTATCATCAGTTTAAGGTTAGTGTTTTGCGGTATTTTAGGGAATCTAACAATTAAGATTTGGTTTATTTCTTTGAGTATATAAATAACTATTAAATAACCTTAGGACCAAGCTCTTTTACGGTACGTGTGCACATCTCTTCGCGAGCTTCGTAATACAACAGACGCACGTAACATCGACCCTGAAGCTTACTTCCGTCTTGTGTTGTTGGCGCGTTCGGTTGCCATCGCGAGACCGCAGAACCTCGTCAAATACACAGCACCAACACCTAGGAAACCGACCAACGGTAAGTTTACTTTTGAGTATACGACATACGTATAAATATTAAATTGTGAAACTATAGATTAGGTATATACCTAGATTGCTAATGGGAATTTTATAAAACTTAACAGCTAAAGAAACATAGTAGACAATAGTCTACGATAATTACATTAAGAATAAGTACTTTAACAATAAAACAATGTGGGAATAAAAACAAAACCATATGTGAAGAAGAAAGACAACTACACAAAAGCGACAATAAGCACATGTAGAGAATTTCCTTATTAATTAGTACAATAAAAATATTTCATTAAGTTAGAAAGATATGAGAAAGTAAACGTCTCGTCTTGCTAACTTATAAAAGAGATCAATATAATTTATACGCTTATATTTTTTATTTAAAGGTGACTGGTCCACCTTATGGAAGGATGATTGTCAAGACGAGCCAGACCGAGAGCCGCATGTATGTGCATTGCTCATGAGCGTCTTGTGGAAACTAGCGGCATGCAAGAACCAAGCGCAGGGTCCGCCCGGCATTCTATCGTACGGACTTAGACACGCTGAACAAACATTGCACGCTCTCGCCGACACCATTCATGCTTTCCAACTCAACGCGGACCCTGAATGTGTAAGTTTAATGGACTATTCACAAAATATGATGAAGGTTAACAGATTTGTAATACTTGTAAAAGATATTAAAAACAGGAATACCTAGGAAATCATTTACTTTTGATTCGACTTTAAAAATACATAATTATTGTTAGTAAATTTATCAACCTATACCTTAAGAATCAAATGAGATGATGATGAAAAACGCAGTCTGAAGTTAGTGTCTAGCTATACTAATTACTAGCTGCGCCAGCGACTTCGTCTGGGTAGAATAGTAATCGTAGACATCAAAATATTCTTTCATACATATTTTTTTTGGTAATGCGAACCTTTTCGCGGTGCACGCAACGGAAACCCGCAATGATGAATAGTTTTCCCCTTTTTTCCATATTTCCTACTGTTTCTTCGCTCCTATATTGGCCGTAGCATCGTTCCTGACAATAGCGCTTTCAGAGAAACCAACAAAATCTTTAGCTTTATAATATTAGTATAGATTTGCATAAAATTAAATCTTATTTTTCTTCTAGGTCGAATTCGGCAATCAAATCTACCTGTCTCTGCTGCTCGCTGAAGATCAAAGCATCAGTTTCGGCGCTAAAACTGCGTTAATGCGGGTGTTGCGGCCTCGAGTCAAAAGACGTCGAGTCTATATTCCATCGCCACCCAACACGCCAGGTACTAATTATTCATCAGCAATCTTGTCTATGACACCAAACTTGAAAGGACCTTTCGTTGTCGGGAGATATACAATTTGATTTTTGAAATCCCTAGGTGCTGGATCGTCCGCGACAACAGCACAACCGACTGGATCTGCGACGGAAGCGGCCGTATCGGAATCAGAACTAAGTGCTAACCGAGAAGAGCAGCAGGAACCCCAGTATATGGATGTTGACGATTCGCTCGAACCCATGGTGCTATTAGCGCCAGACGGAGGTATATTGCACTTACAGTGTTTATATAGAATATTATATATATTGAATATACATACTACATCTATAGATACTACTTACGTACCCATAACTTTTCGTATGTCGTGTACATGTGATACAAGGGAAATAACAGGAACCAGTAATAGTGTAATGGGCTATTTGACTGATTTTTAAAATGTATTATTTTAATTATTTGGTAGATGTTAAGGAACCCCAGAAAAGTACAATTTTTCAATTCTGATACATATTTGCTAAAATATATCTAATTAAAAGTCTGCGAAATAACACTGCAATACGGGGACGTCATGACCTTAAATTGGTCATCGGTGTATGTTAATCAAATGATCCACAATTGTACGAAACTTGAACCAAATATTGCATCTGAAGTAGTAAATTAGTTACAAATTTATTTTTTTATTAATGCAGAGAATAGAACAGCTTTAACACTAGGAAGCTGCTTCGTTTATATCACTGTTTATAAGCAAGTGACGTCGTTATAAACCCGACCAGTTAGGAGCGTTTTGTGTCACGTGGCAAATGTTTAAAAAAGTTAATTTTTATTTGCGTCTTTTTATTTAAATCAATTATTATTTTTAACATATGTGACTGTTTCACTATTTCTAAACTTATAATTAATAATGATAACGGTAATTGACGCTATAATGTTCGCTTTGTCAAATAGCCCATTGACTTCATGAATAAATTGTATACAAAATTAATTTGTCTTCACATCACTTTTTGCTGTCGACAGCAGTAATGACTAAACCGTATCTCTTTACCGCAGTAAATATCGAAGATTTTAACTGGGCAGGTTTAGAAGCTCTCCTGGACATTCCGGCTGACGCTGATGACGAGACAATGGTGGAATTGGCCATTGCGTTGTCATTGCAAGAACAGCCGCGAAGGGCTCCTCTTGCGCAAGCACATACGCCGCACACCCCTACTGCGCCGCCTCCACCAGCACCGGGCTTCACTGATGCAAATGCTTCTCCTAATGGGTATATCAATATTTCAAAAAAATTATAGGTCAACTGCAATCATTCGTCTTTTAAAGGGTTAAATTACTTTTATTGTACTTTAAAAAAGGATTGCTTAAATTATATAACCACAAAAACCAAACGATGACGTTGTTTTGTGGTATTTTGTTCGCAAAGCGTGATGCGGTTCTTTTTAATTTATGTCTTTAAATGGACTTTCCGTATTTTGTTTTAGTAAATCAAATTTTTCGATTAATCACCAATGTTCTATTAACGAGTTACATCTTGTCGTAGATCCGACGACGAGGGAAGTACAGCAGCTACAGACGGCAGCACGCTTCGCACGTCACCAGCGGAAGCAGCTGGCTCCGCAGGTTCCGAAAGCGGTGGCTCCGGTGCAGATAGCATCGGCGGAGTATCTGGAAGAAGCAGTGCCTACGGTATTGTACAATGTTTAGTCATTTGCGCCGTAATAAAAGAACAATGACCAAATCGTATCGGACAACGGCAATATATGTGTTACATATTGAAAAATCTTGTACTTTTCTATATTTTAATAATATCAATGATATTTTATAATAAAGCCGGGAAGAAAACATTTTATTTTGTTCTTCCAAATATGATATTTTTTAATCTGTTTCTTCAGAGCGTGTCGTTAGAGTTTACATATCGAATTATTAATTAAATTATCGTTAGATAACATTAAGAATGTCAATATACATTGATTATTTATATTTATTTCTTGTTTTTTGGTTTTATATGTAAAGTGTAAACGTAGATTAATCAGGTGCGTGTAAAGGAACGATTTGTCATCGGCGCACTTACTTAACGAAAAAGCTAGTTGAAATTATTAATTAAACTTATTTATTGACCTCCAAATTATTATTTTTTATATTAAATGATGTTTGCTTTTTAAATCATGTTTTCGTACAATGAGGTATTAGACTAATATAATATAATATCAAAGTAAATTAAACTCCATATGATTTGTTACTAGTCGCGAACAATTTTAGTCAAGTCCTGTACCTATACACTTTTGGGCCATTGTTCTTTCTGCGTATGAATTTGCTTAAGTATATTTTCATTATGTACGTATACGGAGTTGGTAGAAATTAAAGTTATATGAAAGAGCTATTCGAAGCCCTGCTTAAGCTTACTGGCGTTTGCGGAAACTGGCTTGTGCAAAGTTATGGCATGTTTTAGGCGAGATGTCTGCTGGACACTCGACTGCGATGCCGCTCACCACAGTGCTTGCCGCGCCTGTTACTGTCACAGGCTAGTATTGTTATATTTGTCCTTTTAGTTGATATGCATTTTATTAAGCTACATTGAAACCTCAGAAAAATATGTAATTGATTAAAAATCAATTGTACATTGAAATATATTTATGACACGGGCAGGACTTAACCCGGCATCCACAGCGTTCCGTGCTGTTGCTTTATTCGATTGAGCTACCGTGTCTTATACTCCATCGTCGAAATGAATCAACCTATTGATACATGCACCTCATGCCGGTTCAAGTACTGTACAATCCAAAATCGATTTTCACTTCATATAACGCCATCATATGGCAATAACATATGAAAAATATTAGTTTTCCAATATGCTTCGTTATATGTATTTTGCAGTAGTTGCGTTCTATTCTCCTATTATTAGAAGTTACTCTTAAACTGCAAGTTTTTTTATATAAAAGTAAATGTTTCTTTATCCATAGCCGGTCCTTCGACGTCGTCCTCTCAGCCAGTGGCGTCGACATCGCGTGCCGTCGAAGCGGAGAGTGAAACTCGCAAATTACACGCCCTACGGTTGTCCTTATTGTCAGCTGCCTTGGACGCACTGCCGACGCTAAGAAATCTCCCCGGAGTACGAGCTATACCGTTTGTACAGGTGTGATTCACTTGGCGGTTTAATCTTATAATAATCAACAGGTCGTGGGTTAAAAGCCCCTAGTTCCGAAATCCCGTCTGGACACGAACCATCGTCCATAAATGATAAAGTTTTATTCAGTGGATTACCGAGTATTCAAAGCCTAGTATCCAAAGAAATGTTATATGGCTTGATAATATCACTCTCCTTCAAATAAGTCCCATGCTTGTCTATTCTTCTCTTACAAAAAAATGTACGGTAATGCAGCAGAGAACGGGAAACGCCTTTATGGTAACGTACAGTAAAAGTTACGATTCTTCATAAAATTATTTTTATTATGAGTGTTGTAATTCTCTGTTTCAGGTCGTTTTAATGTTGGCCGGTGACCTGGACTCAAGTGTTGAAGGTGATCGAGCCCTCCTCGACCTTCTACTAGAAGTTCTTGTGGGTGAATTAGATATTCAAAGCGAAGAACCGACAGGTGAAGACAGGGATGCTCGTCGCGACTTCCAGCTTGCAATAGCAAGATTAGAGATGCTGGTGTCAGAGCTGGACTCTACCGCGGATGAAAGCGCCACTCCTATACACGAGAGAACTAATAGAAGAGAATTACAACTCGTTATCATGAGATTGCTCAGTGAGTTTATCTTCATTTAAAATTATGAAATTGAACATTGAAATGAATGATCTCATGCTAAGTTGTTTTTTTGTAATACACGCCACCTTGCCTCTATGCATGGCAAGGTGGCGTGTATTACAAAAAAACAACTGTGTCGGAAATCGGTTAAGAAACTACTCGTACCCTTTACAATCGCAATTAACAACTACTTTTGACCTTTACATAACTTACTTAAACGGTTTAAACCGCGAAATATACTAGTCCATCTTATTTACAAGCTTTTTAATCTGTAATGTTTTATTTAAACGTGCACTACTCGCATATTAAACTACAGACTGTGTTTGACTTGACTTTTTGTTGGTGGACCATGATTACTATTTTACATGATTATAACTTACCTAAAAAAATGTTTTTAGGTGTGTTGATGGCTCGTTGGAAAACATGCACCTCTGGGGAAGGCGGTACTGTATCGCGGGAGCAGGTGACAGGCGCGGCATGCGCAGCACACGTATCCCGTCTGGCCGCAACAGCCTTGGTAAGGGCTGGAGCACCACGCCACTGCTACACTGTCTTAGCTGCTTTATTACCCTATTGGCGGCAGAAAACTAGCAGTAAGTACAATTTTTATTTAAATTAATACAACTCTTTTCTATTAATTCTCATACTTACGTCGCTACGTTATATTCGGATCCACCCACACACACGTCCACAAAGTTTTTGGTTTTGTAACATATATGCACTATAAAAAAGAAAAGGTTAAGAGTTTTGGCTATGAAAATGAAAGTAGGGCGAGATATGCCAAGTACGCGACTTGTAATAATAATAAAGATATAATTATTTTTCTCGATCATACCTATATAATGACACGTATAATTTTCTTCAGATTCAACTGTTGCAACTCCGACGCAACAACTACTAAAGCCGCAGCCTCCGCAGCCGTTACCAGATATGCAACCGTTCTTTGTGAAGGAATATGTTAAAAGTGAGTTTTATAATTACTTTTTGAACACAAATACAATACTGTTGTTTCTATTGTATTTATATTAATTAATTAATCAGAAAGAGTTAAAGAAAATCTTTGTACAGGTCACGCATTAGACGTTTTCGACAACTATCCGCAGCTATTGATGGAGATGGCGCTACGTCTTCCATGCCAGATTCATAAGCATTGCGATCCAACCTACTTCGATTCTCGTTGGCGTACCCTGCTCTGCGAGTACATGATGAACCAACAGACGCCATTGAGGTAAAAAGACAATTACTGTTTCGAAAATATGCTATTTTCATACCAATATGTTAGTATTTTTGTTAAGTTTTAATTGTTAAATTATGAGTACTGTACTTATAAAAGGAAGCAAGTCCGCAAACTACTATTACTCTTGTGCGGTACACGAGAACGTTACCGGCAGCTGCGCGACGTGCACGCATTGGACACGCATTTAACTGCTGCGCGTTCGTTGCTAGCTACCGATCCGGCTTACGATAAGCTAGTCAGACTTATGGAACATTTGAAGGTAACACAATATTTTTACAACGCATAAATTATAATTCATAATAAATGGGTCCTTCAAGCCGAATATGAATTATCCCCATGAATTCAGGCTTGCGCGGAGATTGTAACTGCTCGCACGGGCAACTGGCAACACACATGCTGCACCGAGCGGCGTGAAACTATCGCCTGGCTAGTGACTGTAGCGCGACGTGTTCACCCTCACGTGGCGCCAACTGTGCTGCAGTTGCTGCAAGCTGCATTGTGTGCCCCGCCACCGGCACCGAGTGCGCCGCCTGCTAAGGATAACAAGGTACATAAAGTATTAAGATTCAATGTTTTTTTTGTTTTTATGGAAAGTAAAGCTAACCAATGTTACTACAAGAAAAAATAATAATTAAAAACAAAAATAAAAAAAAGAAAACTAAACAAGTTACGGAATGCTGATTAAGTAAGATATTTTTTTTAATGCTTCAATTTGACACGAGATAAATGAGAATTTGGTAATGGTTATAACTGTTTATAGGCGTCTTCTGATTGGCCCGAACGCGAGCGAAGCGCAGATAGCGACGCGTACGTTTCTGATGGATCTAAATTCCAAGAGTACAGAGTGCCTCTGCTGATCGCGCAAATACATAAGCAGGTAATTACTATCTGTGCTATCATACTTTATGCAATTATAAAAACACTTTTAAATAAAACACTTTTATCGGTTTAAAACATTATACATATTATGCAATATTTTACAGGTGCCTCAAGATGAGTTGAAGTTGTTTATTAAGGCCTTCTTGCTAGAAACAAACTCTACCGCCGTACGTTGGCAAGCGCACGCTTTACTTTTGGCGATTTACAAGTAAGTGTAAGCTATTTAGTCCTTATGTTAGATTGTTAAAATTCTTAAGGATTATTTATTTCTGTTCTGTTTAAAAATGAATACTAAACTGTTTTTTCTTTTCAGCAATTCCTCTCAAGCGGAACAGGCGTCACTAGTGTCGCTACTGTGGGGACTGTGGCCTACACTACCCCAGTATGGACGTAAAGCGGCACAGTTTGTCGACCTACTCGGATATTTCACTCTTAAAACTACAAAAATGGACAATGCGGTAAGTTTCATAAATATAATGTAAAATTTTATTGATGTGCTCGATCTTGAAACGCATCTAAGTATTAATACTGATAATCGAATATTTTATTACTCCGTGTGGTACATATACCATTTTCTTTTTATATGTCGACTAAAAAAGTGGTCAACGTTTGTAATCAAATTAGAACAAACTTTAGGAGCCCAGGCATGGGGATTCAATATATAACATCTAATCTACATGTGCACTTATTTTGGCTTTGGATATTCGGAAATCCAATTTTTTTTATGAAAACACGATTAATCTTGGCGGCTTTTAAATCTGTAAATGGTGATTTGTAACCCGGAAGGAAGTTCGATATTCTCACCACCCTTTTAATATTCAGATTACCAGACGAAGTCCAACATTTAAAAAATTAATTATAAATAAAATAATGTTTTAGGACTACATTAGCAGTGCAGTGGATCTACTGCGTAACCAGAACCGTTTACTGTCTTCCCACGGTAACTCAGCGCTGTACGCAGCTCTTGGTGCTTATGTCGAGCTGGAAGGCTACTATCTAGAGTCTGAACCCTGCCTCGTCTGTAACAATCCTGAAGTGCCGATGGCAACAATCAAACTGCCTACGATAAAGGTTGGTCATGTCTTTTAATATCCTTAGTGTGTTCAGTAATAGCGAAGAATATATTATGTATTTCATTCATAAACATGAATATGACGGACTGAAAAATAAATGTCACTAGTTGTCTCGCACTAAATAATATAGGAGTTATGTACTGTCTGTAATTTACGTGATTAGTAAACATTTCCAACAAAACATTAACAACGATTTAAAACGCGAAATGTATTACTTTAACTTCTTAACATTTTATTTACGGTCCAACCTTTCCGAAGCTAGATGTAAGATGTATTGTATCCCTAATATCAAAGGGAAAACCTACTACTAACTAATACGAATATACTTCGCGTTTTAAACCGTTAAAGTTTTAATAATGAAGCGGTTATAGTAATAAATTATGTGTAATATAATTTTACAGTGCGTACATGTTATTATTATTCACAGACAATCGTAATTATTTATTATTTACCGTATATTTAACTCTATAAAAAGGTATGTTGGCATCTAGAGACTATGACTATGTCCCGCAGTCTGTAAGGACTAATCGCAACAACCGTCCGCAGATCGACTCGAAGTTCACGACCACTACGCAGATTGTGAAGCTTGTGAACAGTCACATGATAAGTCGAATCAGCCTTCGCATCGGCGACATCAAACGCAGCAAGATGGTGCGAACCATCAACTTCTACTACAACAATCGCACGGTGCAGGCGGTGCAGGAGTTGAAGAATAAACCTGGTTAGTTAGTATGACAATTCAATCTCGGTATCTTTGCTCTAATGCTGGCTTATGGTTATAACTTCAACGTGTTTCTAATCAATTTATAACACTTATGAATCGCGTTGAACTTCCTCTTTAAATCTAGATATTAAATGCGTGGTAGGGATATCTAAATTCCGTCCAAGTCGTGACTTGGCTTTTTCTTTTTTTGAAAAAGCCGCGAAGTTTAATCACGACTCTATTTCATTCTGTAGATTTCAAAATACCCAAAGTAAAAAAAGGTCGACAACGCACCGTGTTATATGGCTGTTAAGTGAACCGTATGCTTGTCAGTTCTCCTTTTTTATAAAAACAATCTCTGGGATGTTATAATTAAATTATTAACCGTGACCGATAATTTAAAGTAAAAAAGGTTTTATGCTTATAGTTATATATTAAACAAACGTAATATTAAAATAAATAATTTTATATTTTTCTAGGCATGTGGCACAAAGCTAAGCGTGTTCAACTACAGTCCGGACAAACCGAAGTACGCGTCGATTTTCCGCTACCGATCGTTGCATGCAACCTCATGATGGAGTATGCCGACTTCTATGAAAACCAGCAGGCGACTGGTATGTCCACTACAACTGATAACCTGGCTTTATATTTAAATAGTGTAAAGACTTATTAATACAATGTCAATTCTTTAAGGTGAATCTTTGCAATGCCCTCGGTGTTCGCAATCGGTGCCAGCCAATCCCGGCGTTTGCGCAAACTGCGGCGAGAACGTCTTCCAGTGCCACAAGTGTCGGTAAGTAAATAGTATAATAATAAAAAACGCGTTCTAATTTTAAATAAAGCTTTTAAACTAAGTATGTAAGTTATAGGTATCTCAATATAAGGTATTTCAAAAATAAGTAAGTAATCGAAGGTTTTGAATTGATTAAAAAACCAAGCCGAAGCCAAGAAGATACAAAATATTGCATCTATCGGCTTCTTGTATTCACATCTCTAAAGTCACTTTTAATCCTTCACATGGACAGTAATTGAATTATAAAGACTTGTTTGATAGTTATAACTGTCGCTAAAATAAATCTTACCAATATTTTAGTTTTATTAAAATCAATATAGTCTACGCGAGTAGTATACACTTTAACGGTTTAAAACGCGATATATATTTGGAAATTATTTTAACTACGGCCCGACGTTTTTCCATAACCTGCTGGTGCAAAGCAATCGAACTGTCGCATTTTAAATCGTTAAAGTATTTTATTAATCCTTATTGTTATCGCGGACCCATGATGATACGGCGACACAAATAGAGACAAAGATTTAAAAGTATCCAATTTTCAGTGCCATTAACTACGACGAGAAGGACCCGTTCCTATGTCACGCCTGCGGTTTCTGCAAGTACGCGAAGTTTGATTATACGCTAATAGCGAGACCCTGCTGCGCCGTCGACACTATTGAAAATGACGAGGAGAGGAAGAAGATGGTGCAAACTATTGGCACTCTACTAGATAAGGCGGATCGTGTTTACCGCCAGCTCATCGCTAACAAGCCTTATTTAGAGGTAAGATATTTTTTTTACTTTTTATGATAAAGGAGGACAGACAAGCATGGGGTCCACTTGATGGCAGGCGAAATAACCCAGCCATAACAGCTGAACAAGTTGCGCGGTCGACCTATTTTGGCGTTCGATATTCGAAAATTCAGAGACTGAAACCGAAACGCGTATCAATTCGATACCTTTTTTATCTGCGATGATGATCCATGACGGTAGTTTGATTTCGATATTCTTTGCTGTTAGATTTAAAATCCATATTTCGAGACAAAGTCCGAGAGGTTTCAGAAAAATTACAGATTGATTAGATTTGGTGAACCCGGTGGGGATCGCACCCACGACTCGGTGATTATTAGCTATATCTTGCTACTATTACACCGCTACTATGACACCAAAGAACCCCTCAAAAGCTTGGTTTAGTATCGAAGTAGTTATAAAATTGTGATACTTACATTTTGTAGTATTTAAAAGTTTATGTACTTGTTACGGAAAATGTTGTATAGGGAACATCAATAATATAGTCGTCTTCTTTTCTATTGCGCCATGTATTCTACCTCTTGTGGTTTTTGTTATAATGTTCTGGGTAATTTTTCACTCAAAGCCTGTAACGAACTTGTGTATTGTAGTCACTAGTCCACAAGATAAGCGAGCACCGAGTGGACGGTCGTCCAGATGAAAACAGTAACACTACAAGTGCGTCCTTCGGCGGAGTACAGATCAACCGCGTGATACAGACGCTTGCGCACAAATATTGCAACGAGAGCAAAGGGCACTTTGAAGATCTTTCGAAGATTATACAGAAGGTGCTCGCATGCAGGTAATGTATTGCAATTGTATTTAAGTAAAGCCTAAAAAGGAATAAAACAAAGAAAAATGTCAGCCGTCATTTTATGTTTAACGTTATTTTTACAGGAAGGAACTAGTCGCTTATGATAAAGCCCAAAGCGAACAGCAAAACGGTGAAGCGTTGCCAGTGTACTCAGTTCTTATGCAAAACTATGATGGCGATCTTACTAAAGGTAGGTGTTTTGGTTATCTAAAGGATTTTTCTGTAGTAGTCATATTGAGAACTTTTTATGTTTATATATTATTAGAGACTGGATTATCGTGACATAAATACTGTTTCTTTCAGAGAGCGGTGGTTCTTGCTATGGTTGCTCGCTAGCGACTGCCGAACACTGCCTTACTCTATTGCGTGCACTAGCATCGCAGCCAGATAAACGCGCTTCCCTTTGCCAAGCCGGGCTTGTTCACGAACTCGTTCATCATAACTTACATAGAGGAACACCACAGGTATGGCACATATACATACTCTGAGATTTGAAGATGCTATTACTAAAATTTAATATTATAGATTCTTGAGAAACGTCAGTACAAAATAAAGAATGAAATGTTGAAGATATTTACAATTGTAGTTGCATTTTACAGAGCCAAGAGGAAGTACGTTCACTTATTTGCCTGGTAACGCGCGATAACCTGCCAGCAACCGAACAACTGTGTTCTCTGCTTACTCAACGTATAACTCTGTCTCTTATGGGCCACGCGGCCTCTCAAGACCATAACAATTCTGTAAGTATATCTAAGAAACAAGGGCAATAATTACTTATTGAATATGAATCTAATATGTATATGTTTTTTACAGGTACGCCCCCTGGTCCTGCTTTTGGGATCCCTTGTCAAAGTCCAAGACTCTGTCGAGTGTTGGGAAGTTCGTTTGCGATGCATAGTAAAGCTATGGGTTTGGTAAGTTACTCAACCTAAGGCGCTAATGTAACCATGATGTAATTAAAAAGTAAGTAGATAAGGTATTATGATACTATTTTGTACCAGGTGCTGTCCTCAAGTGACCGAAGTCGCTGGCATCCCACCAGCTGCTAACGCAATACTCAAAGATGAAGCTCTAGCAGTCATACCCGGTATCAACACTTCTTCACCAAACTGTAAGATCTCTACATACATACATCTGGTTCGAAGGACCAAATTACAAGGCCAATTTACATTTATACTTTTGTTACAGCTCATCAATTCGCTCTACAACAAGTTGCGCTACCCTGTCTTCGCTATATGCAAGAGCTTATGGCGCCGCTGACTACTACTCCCACTGTAGTTTCTTCCACTGTATCTTCAGACGAACAAGTCAAAGACGCAAAGGTAAAATGACTTTGTAATTCCCATAAATACCAAAGGCTATTGTTTTGTTTTAGATTCTTAACCTAAAAAACACATTTCTAATTGTATAGGAAAGTGAGAAGTCTACGCCGGCAACAGTTGAACTTCCAAACCAGACGGGTAACTTAGTGGTAGACCTAGCCGCTTGGCTCGCTGGTAGAGTGCCACAGAAGGAATGGAGACGTCTCGCTGCCAAGAGTCTTATACCTCCTACGGATACTACTCTACCACCTCGTGATTTGCACCTCGCTAATAAGTACGTCGGGAAATGGCGGGAAAGGGTACGTTAAGATTTAAATACAATAATAATGAAAATATTTTCCTAAATTACTTAAAAAGTTAGTGCTGGGGCGGGCTTATAGCTTATGGCGATTTCTTTCATTCAACCTTCGTATACGAGAATACATTTTTCTGTAGAAGATTTTTGTTTATTTATTGTTATGCTCTTTGCTTACATAATGCCTCCTATTTTTTTGCTGACGCTACCCATTGAATAGATAATTTCCTCGTTTTAGGTGTTGTTGTCTCACGGCATGCGTCGCGTTAACCTAGACGAGGGCGGTTGGCTTCGACCTGTCATGTTCGACCCCAGCTCTCGCATAGCTCGGGATACGGCCTGCCAGATGGTCAGCTCCTTGTGCGACTCATACGAAAGGACTAAAGCAGTAAGATATTTTAACAACCCCTAATTATAGAAAGTTCTACAACGTCGAACAAGTTAAACTAAAGAACAATGGTCAAATATTTATTCGTACTGGACCTCACAAATATTTTTCCCGACCAGTAACAAATCATTAAAGATTTGATTTACTTTAAAGTAATAAATACCACCCGGCACGAAAACTTTATTCAAAAAGCCAACATAACATAATATCGTAAAAAAAACTTTTCAGGTTAGAATAAATAGCTAACTTTTTCGTTAAGTATGTATATAAAGTTAATCTCAAAAGTCGTTAGGGATGATTTGGCCATTGTTCTTTACTTTTACCGCCATTTCTCAAATATGTAATGGTAAGGTGTAGTGTTAATGGTAATCAAAGAAATATATACGTGTTGTATGCTAAACAAAAATTAATACCCAAACTAGAACACACATTGAAGATTGAATATTTTATTTCAAACAATGGAATTACAGGTATTAATTCTACTGACGAGTTTCCTACCAGAAGTTGGCGCCGCGGGCGAGGCCAGCGAACAATTCCTTCAACTCTATCAACGTATGTAATTCTTATTAGCTTTATTCGTCATCCTGCATCCAAATGTTTTATACATATCCTTTGTATCAAATAAAATTCATATTTTAATAGGCCTAGCTGCAAACGCGCCATGGAAACAGTTCTTGGCCATGCGAGGTGTACTCCAACAAATCGCTGATCTCATGACCAAGGAAATTGAACAGCTGCATCGTCTTGAAGAGACAACCCTGACTTCTGATTTAGCTCAAGGTTAGATTAATTTAAGTACCTAACAAATGAGCACTTGATTGTATACTAATAATTCGGAGAGTATAAAATTCAGACCATATTACTTTTTAATCTACCCAGAAAATTTTGACTTAGAGCTCGTTGGTTTAATGGAACCATTGTACGGCTAATTTTCAACGGGTCGTGGGTTCGAACACCACCGGGTACAACATATCTCTAAACAATTTATATTTTTTCTGAAACATGTTGGACTTCGGGGGTGATAGGAATATCGAAATTCTGGCCGGGTCACGAACCATGGTCCACTGGTGAAAAAACGTTGAAGTTTTATCGCGTTTCGGTTTCAGTCTGTGGATTTCCGAATTTCCAAAACCAAAACGGGTCGACAGTGCATCTTACTTTAAGGCTGGGCTATCATATAAACACAGTTGGTCTTAGAGAATCAATTGAATTTTCTCCTGTTCAGGCTATGCCCTACAGCATCTAACGGAACTGTTAGCTATGTTCCTTGAAGAGCCCGGAGCTCGGCGTGCTTATAAGGGCCGTTTAGTCGGTGCCGTGTTAGGTGGTTACCTGTCTCTACGTCGTCTTGTCGTACAGAGGACCCGTCTCACAGATGATACGCAAGAGAAACTTTTGGAACTGCTTGAAGAGATGACTACTGGTTTGTATTATATATTTTGATCTGTACGATTCCTCTATTACTTCGTAGTAGTAGTAGTTAGTATAGAAAATATTTGAAAATATATATATTTTTAATTTTTGGTGTCGTAAGACCCTTAGGTTTAAAACCTGTGTACATTTATAAATTAAATAAAGTAACAAGATTTCTATCTTTAATATTTTTCACATATAGCATAGCATATGATAGCACTATACTAATTAAAAATCGATTTTAAATCCTAAAAAAATTACTATACGAGCAGGACTTTAACCGGCATCCACAGCGTTCCGTGCTGTTGCTCTAACCAATTGACACGGTAGCGCAAATATTTTTCAATCTAAAATCCATTTTTAATAGGGGACAAACTTTTTAAAGTACTTAAACAATTTAATGTATATCCAATTTCTAGGTACGGAAGCAGAAACAGCAGAATTCATGGCCGTATGTATCGAAACGGTTCAAAAGTATCCCTTGCACGACTACCGCACACCAGTGTTTATATTTGAACGTCTCTGCTCCATCATTTACCCGGAAGAAAACGACGTCGGAGAGTTCTTCCTCACCCTTGAAAAGGATCCACAGCAGGAGGACTTTTTGCAGGTATAATAGTCGTATATTATATATAAATATGAGATATTGGATTTCAGTGTCATTTTTTTTTCTAAAGTCAAAGTAAAATCATTTAGTCACGTATGTCACTAGGTACATTTATGTCACATCAGTTAAAAACTACGAGTAAATCTGCATTTACTAACAGTTGAATGAAAACAATAAAGAATTTTTGATATTTTGATTTGAGTTCTCAAATCAAGAGAGTACGAGAAGTACTGGCAAAAAACTCGCCGCCACTCCTTTTAATCATAACTATCACCAATAGTACTATTTCAATATTAAGATCTAAAGTTATGATTGGACGCTTACCAATGGGACGCTATCATTGAGTTAAGCACGAGAGGTCCTGCGTACGAATACCAGGGAAACAATACATTGTTTCGGTCGGGCATGGCACATGAGTTGGACACAGAAATGTGTTTAACCCATGCCCTACCGGGAAACGGGGTTTCCCTTTTTTAACTTTTCTGTAAAAAGTATGTTCTTGTATAAGATTCCATTCCTTAAACACCAAGACATATTACCCACCTTGATGTATGCCCGAATATAATTATATTTTTTATTTAGGGTCGTATGCTGGGCAACCCTTATTCATCGGTTGAACCCGGTATGGGCCCGCTGATGCGCGATGTCAAGAACAAGATATGTACAGACTGCGAACTAGTGGCCCTGTTAGAAGACGACAACGGAATGGAGCTACTTGTGTGCAATAAAATCATGTCACTCGATCTTCCTGTAAAGGATGTATATAAGAAGGTAAAAAAATATTCATGTTAAGTCGATTCATGTTAATATAAGATTGTAAGTCGATTCCCCGAGCGAAGATTAATCTGTGCTCTAAACTGAAGTCTGAAAAGTTTTAAATACCCATGCCTTGACGGAAACGAGGCGAATAGAAGGGTCTTAGCTCATTTGATACGTGCTGTTGTCGGTTGAATAAGAAAAGAGCGAACGGTTTTAATACATATAACCAAAATATGCTGGAAATTGCTAAATTATAGTCTTTAATTGGCTGATATTATTGTTTTTTTTTTTTAATGTTTGTATCATACTATTTAAACCATGTCTGTAAATTAAAGCTTAATATTATAGACAAAAAATAATAATAAAGATAAAGCCATAAAGCTTATTAAATTTATGTTTATGAAACATAATAATTATAAATTAATTTACTGTTTAACGTAAAACTTAATGTTAATTAAACTAGGTGTGGTGTGCGTCTGGTGAAAGTTTGGATGCTATGCGAGTTGTGTACCGCATGCGTGGTCTTCTCGGTGACGCTACAGAAGAGTTTGTGGAGACCCTCAGTCAGACCAATGCTGAAGCTGTAGATGATGAGCAAACGTACCGTATGGCTAACGTGTTGGCAGATTGCGGTGAGTATATACAGATGTTATAAAAAAGAAAAGATCAAAATAATTAGATGCCTATGAGAGCGTCGCCATATGCGCGCCAACAAATTTAAAACGTCAAAAATTTCGTTATTAATAATATTTAATAAGATGAAAATATTGTCACAGGCGGCTTAGAAGTAATGCTGCAACGGCTCGATGCTATACAGCGTGTGGGTGGTGCGCGCGCTCTTGTCTCGACTCTGCTTCGTTTGTTGAGCCTTTGCGTGCGCGTGCGTCGTTGCGTCCGTGTGCTTACGCGCACGAATACGAGGGCACTACCAGTGCTATTACATGCGCTAACCCTTGCCGCAGCAGAAGAGAAAGACATGACGAGGGCTGACCTCGTGTATCAGTTGCTTGAGGTATGCTGTTCAATTTTTTTGATATACCGTCTATTTTGTAGTCTATAGAATCAAATTAACTTAAGAATATATTCTTTGTTTTATATCATTAATTGTGTGTTATATCATCATCAGATCATGGAACGCATATTAACAGTAGCGGCGAGTGAAAGCCTCGAATCGTTCCTGCAATTCTCCCTAACATTTGGTGGGCCGGAGCACGTGCAGGCTTTGCTCAATTGCACGGAGTTGACAGGTAACAATCTTTTTACGCAACCGCTAGAATGACAGTTTATTTACAATATACAGAATTAGATTTTGTTCAACTGAAACGAATTTTATCTATTTTTCACCTTATTACAACAATTATACAATAAAAAGATGAAGTAAAAAAATATATATTAGGAAAGTGCGCCAAACGTTCTTTTCCATATAAAGTATTTCGACGAAATCTGTTTACCATATAAATGGTTCTTCTGAGTTAATCTTAAAATATACACGTATACTGCCATTTTATTTTAAGTTATATAAATAAGAAAAAATATTTTATATATTTTTTGGTTTATTTAACCATTTTTATAGCATTTTTATCCCATTTTTTCCACATTTTCCACTGTTCTACGCAGCGTGAAGTCATATGCTATATTATACTATAATGGTTCAACCCACAGAAATTTTTTTTTTTTCAATTCAAACCTGTAGTTTCCGAGATTAGTGCGTACAAACAAACAAACTCATCAGATTTGTAATATTAGTATAGATAAGATACAATACAATACCGTATACATATGCAGATATGTGGAACTACCTAATGTGCTATTCATACGTCTGTATGGTGCCAAATGCAGAAAGTATTTATTAATATGTAAATTACAGCAATTCGAAACAACCCAGTAGCGCTTGGTCATCTAATGCGTGTACTGGCTGCGTTGGTCTACGGCAATGATCTTAAAATGGCGATGCTGGTGGAACACTTCAAACCGGTGCTGGACTTCGGCCGACTCGACGCTGAACATTGGGCCGAAGAAGAGTTCCGAATGGAGTTGTTCTGTGTGCTCTGCGCTAATGTTGAGCGGAACAGCGTTGGAGGGACCTTGAAGGACTATCTAATATCACTTGGCGTGGTTAGGGATGCGCTAGAGTATATTGTTGTGAGTATTTTACTAATAGATTAGTATATATATCATTCATGCCAAGTAAAGTGAGATACATCCAATTGCATCTTTAGGCATCTCCGAAACAATATAGGCTAAAAAAGCTTGTAAGTCAGACATAATTTTGATATAAGAGTAAAATAAAATTAATAATATATAAAAAAAAAATTCTAACGTTTAAATGCAAAAGGTTGTTAATTGCGATTTTCAACATACAGAAACACGCGCCGTGCGTCAAACCAACACTGGTGTGTACTGATTCGGATGAGCTGAAGGAGTTTATCAGTAGACCAGCGCTTAAATTCATTCTGCGTTTCCTCACTGGCCTCGCTTCCGACCACGAACCTACTCAGGTGAGTTTTTAGCTACTACTATGAATGAGTGAATATAAGTCACTCTTTTATCTCGTACTATTAAGAATATAAAGTCTTATGTATGTCTGTGGTGTATGCCAGTAGTACACATAAAAAAAAAAACACTTTTTGACGATTTAAAAGGTTCAATGTATTATTCAAACAGATTTATAAATACTTATGTCAAAGTAAAAATACTGTTACGCTAGCGCTATGTCTTACGCGCTGTGCCGTAGTTGGTATTAGAAGAAACTGCTGGGTTTTTACAGAAATGACTCACGGTGTCAGTCACTCTCGGCATACCGCTAACCGAAAGTATTTTTCGTTTTAAACTGTTAACGAATGTTTCATTTAAATGTGATATGGTTTAATCAATTTATTTTAGATTTTTAAATTATATAGTGCCTTCATGTGCAATAACATGTAATAATTAAATATTATAATTTTCAAACGTTACAACTTTGTAATTTCATCTTCAATGATTTTGTGCAAGTTGCAAATGTTAAGATTGAAATAACATTGCGCGAGAGGTGTATACATCAATAAGTTGAAAAATTTCGATGATGAGGTGTAGGACTCGGTAGCTCAATTGGTAGAGCAACAGCACGGAACGCTGACGATGCCGGTTCAAGTCCTGCCCGAGTCGCAATTTTTTTTCAAATTATTTAGGATTTCTAAATTGTAATATGGTTGTTTAACTTTATTTATTCCCTAACAGATGCTTGTATGCGAAAAAGTGATCCCAATAGTGCATCGGCTGGAGCAGGTCTCTTCTGGGGAGCACGTCGGGTCACTGGCAGAAAATCTTCTAGAGGCGCTTAGGTCTCAGTCGCAATGCGCCGCTAAAGTACAGCAAGTTCGCGACTTTACTCGGCAGGTACGTGAAGCATTCTAGGCAATATTACCACCACAAGACATTACTTAAAGTTGAAATTTTACCTTTTTTGAATTTATCTACAGAAACCGCCTAGCGGTTTATGTAGCGGTATACATAAACGAAATCTACTTAATCCATATTTTGGCACAATTACTTTGATTATGCGCACTAGTAGCGCATATGTATCTTTTAAAACTGATTAAAATGTGACCAAATAACTTTATTGCAGGAGAAGAAGCGTCTAGCTATGGCGGTTCGTGAACGTCAGCTGGGTGCTTTGGGCATGCGCAGTAACGAGCGTGGTCAAGTCACGGCGCAGTGCTCGCTGACGCAGCAAGTCGCAGATCTCGCTGAAGAAGCTGGTGCCGTGTGCTGTATATGTCGCGAGGGATATAAATATCAACCGACCAAGGTAAGGAATTTTTTATCATGTCATGTAGTATATACCAATAACACATAGAAATATATCACTGGTTTAGATCACTTTGACGGTTTAAAACGCGAAAATTATTAGTAACTCTTATTTAAAAATTATTTCATCAATGGCTCGACGCTCGATCATTGCTTTGCAGCAGTCCTGACCACGATCAGACTAATGATTATTAGTACATTTCGCGTTTTAAACAGTTAGTCTTTTATTTAAATAAAAGAAAGTAGTTTCTTCTAACTCAATACAATAATATCAATATTGTAATTTTAGGTTCTAGGCATTTACACATTTACAAAGCGGTGCCCCGTGGAAGAGTTTGAGGTGCGCGCGCGCAAGACTCTCGGCTACACCACGGTCTCGCATTACAACATTGTTCACGTGGAGTGCCACATGGCTGCTGTTAGATTACAGCGGGCTAGGTGAGTTTTGTTTTAATAAAACAAACTTTATGTGAAATTATAAGATTGTATCATCTGAATTTTAAGTTGGGGGAAATACACAAGGGCAATTTTTTATACCCTATTGCAGTATCTAAATGACACTGGTAAAATTTAAATACAGAACCATGCCAACTATATTTATTTATAGAGATGAATGGGAAAGCGCTGCTCTTCAAAACGCGTCGACTCGCTGCAACGGCTTGCTGCCTCTTTGGGGCCCGAACGTTCCCGAGTCGGCCTTCGCCAGCTGTCTTGCGAGACATACAACTTATCTACAGGTATGTTTTTTCTTACTCTAAAGACATCTTATACGTTGAATCTTAATAAGTGCTGAGGTTGAAATTAAAATGCTGCTTAGGCATCATAAAGCAGTACGTAACGAAACGGTACTCTCTCCCATAAGACTTGAGCTCCAAAATATCTGAAACTTAAGTGCTTAAAAATATTGGGTTGAGATAACTCTTATTGAGTTATGAATAGAATATATGAACATGTTTTAATTTTAAAGACAATTCAAGCTGCAACATGTTCGGTAAATGCGTGAATCTTATTTAAAAAATAGATACATTTTTAAAGATTTTCATTTATTTACTTAGGTAAGATTGTTTTATAATAAAAGTAGTAATAAATGCTGAATAAGTTATCTAAATGCAAATCTTAAAATAAGGTCTTGCATTTTATGAAATGAATATCTTTAGGAGTGCACCGGCCACCGCGACATCGGCCACCAGTGCACCGTCCACGACTTGAAGTTGCTCCTGTGGCGGTTCGCGCGAGGCCGCACCTTCCACGACGACACCGGTGGTGGCGGGCCACTCTCCAACATGCAACTGGTGCCCGCCCTCATACATATGGCACTATATGTTATTAACACGTTAGTATTCTTATTTTATGCAAATATATATGAACAATCACACAAAAAAAATAGTTTTTTTTTAAAGTTAGCTGACATGGCAAACATTCTTTTGCCTTTTAAAAGATAGACATATAGTTTTTTTTATTATTAAAAAAAAGTATTTTTTTTATACATATTTTTTTAATATCTTGAAACATTTTTGCAGCTCATGCAACAAAACCCCTCTAAGTGCCTTCCTCGTTTTTTTTTCTCATTTTCCATTGTCACTACTATTGGTCAAAGCCTGATGTTTTATAGCCCGATAAATGGCAACACTTTTTTTTAATTCGTAATTCCTGAGATTAGCACGTTCAAACAAATAATTAAAGACTAATTTATTGATATAAACATATTTTTGGTAGAAGCAGCATAATATGTTAAGAGTTATGACAGTCTAAAGACAATATTAATATTAAAAAATATATTTAAATGTTATTTTTTACAGAACTCGCGTGGCCGGTCGAGAACTGTCGTCTCTAGAAGGTTTCCTGTTCTGGGCTCTGCCGAAGCAGCTGGAGTCTGCCCACGAGGCAGAAGGTTCCCTCTACTTTATCACGCTCATGTTGATGCTTTACCCTCACGCAAAGTAAGTTGAAGAAACGTTTGAAGGTATACTTTAAAGGGATAAAGTAATTTATTTATTTGTTATCATGACACGATAACACATAAAACGTATTACTTAATATAGAAATAAAATTAATTAAGACATTAAATGCGAAATAATCTTAACAAATCATATTATTTTGTGTGGCCAGTAATTTCAGCCTTAATTGTGTAAGTCATAAGGTTGTAATTACATTGCGGAAGAGGTGTATGTATCAATAGCAGAAATTCGATAATGACGTGTACTCGATTACGATTTTTGTGCTCGATTTGTTAGTGTAGCAGCACGTAATGCTGTGGATGCTGGTTCAAGCCTCGTCTATGGATATCTATAAAGAATTTTATTAATATAATGCCATCATGTGAAAAATGACATTGTTTCCAAAATTTGGTAGAAATTGGCCACACACAAGTCTTAATATGAAAGATAACAAAAACGTTTGGTTGTGAAAACACATACATATAGTCTGTGGCTAAGGTGTATCTATTATCACATATATATGTATATATATACACATACATAAATTATACTTTTTTAATACACATAAAAAAATAATATTTAAAACCATACGTAAAGTGTTATACAGTACTATGTAAGTAGTAGGATTTTTTTCTATCTATTATCAAATGAACTTCACAAACATCTTGAATATACATAAAAAATCGAATTCTAATAACACCTATTCCCTTCTTTTTTTAGATGGAAGTCGTCCCGCGTAGATATGCTAAAACGTCTCCTAGTAACCGGCCACGTGAGATCCTTGGCGGCTGCCGGACCTCAGCTGCGCTCGCTCACCACCGAACAGCGAGCTATGCGCCCATGGGCAGATTATAAGGCCTATGCGGTACTCGTCGCTCTCATAGATCAATTGTACACGGTCATGTTTAAGGTATGATTTTAATAATTTTACCATATTTAAGCTTAATATGGGTCACATTTTTTTTTAAAAAACTACAACTGAAATCCCGTTTCTCCCCATAAAGCACGGGGCGAACACATGTTTGTGTAAATTTCACTGATCTGTGTTATTTATAAGCATGTAGTCGATTTCCGTGATCTGTCCTACTGAAACTATCTATCGTTTCCCCGGGATTCAAACCCAGGACCTTGCATCCTTAACGCAATGCTATGTCACACTTTCAACCATTGAGCTACAAAGAAGGTCATAAAAAAGAATCGTAACGAAAATAACTTATTGAAATAACGGAATAAAATAAGTAAGCTATCTTTCCACTATCGAAGTTTGTTTTTCATCGTATTGTAAAGTTACAGTATAGTTAAAACTGTGTCCAGCAGTTGTTTATGCCATTTTAAAGTTAAGTTTTCTCTCTTTTAAGATTATTTGCCTTTTATTACTATCCGAGTCTGTTACTTGTCAACCTCACCATTCGCGTTTTCAGAGTGTTTCCGCCACCGCCGTGGAACAGTGGCCCGTGAAGCTCGCCGAATACATCCGAATGAACGACGAGGCCAACGCGAAAGCTGCCGAGCGCATCGTGACGTCACTCACGGACGAGCTCCTGCCGTGCACCTCGTTCGCGGAGTTCTGCGACGCGGCCAACCTCCTCGCGGACATCCCAGACCCAGACGCGTTCCTCGCCACGCTATTGAGCGAGCTGCCTTGAGGAAGGCCCTTCGCGCCTTACTGTGTCGCATACAACGGCTGCACGGCCTGTTGAATAGTGAGGCCCGATCTATTTATTCAACGTGTATTTCTTATTATTGCATCAGATGTCATTAGAATTTGGTTCGCTTCTATGGTGTTTTATTTATCCAACATCATTTCCCACTGCTGTAAGGAAGGTACGAAAATAAAATTATGTGCGTTCATTTTTCAAGGGGGGAAGACATTTACATTTATTCTGTAATCCTAACCTAAACATAAGAATTACGATTTAAAAACAGTGCAATAAATTATATTTTAAAAACATTATATCTATTGTCTATAGTATGAAGGAGTGTTCAAGAGGTTTAATATAATTTCAATGATAATTCTTTTAATTTGAGTAGTGACGGGCGCTACCACTCGAGAAAAACAATTGGTCTTATCTTTTGAAAATTCCTGTCTTACGCTTAGGGTATATTATAATCTAATGAGTTATTATTATATGTAATGTGTTCTTTTATATATTTAACTTTATTTTCTTTACGTTGTCAACCCATTAACTTGTTGACGGTGCACTGATAGAAAGCAATAACTAAAAAACAATCGTAAACCAAGGGTAGTTCTTAAAAACATATAAGTGATCAATTTCGATGATAGTGAGTACTAGAGCCTTACTTTTTTAAAAATTATTCCAAGAGCTACGTGTCATTTAACCAACTACTAATATGACGAACACGATGTCATCTATACCTTTAGTTTCGAGAACAAGAAATAAAAAATTTAATGCCTGTTTATACTAACTCCACATAGTACAACAATAGACAATAGAGAGAGATGTTTCAACCTTGACCTCGCATTTAAATAAGACCGCGACAGATCTAATGAGATATGTCATGACTATTACGAAAGTATCTGTGAGTTCGTGATCTGACATAACTGGCTGATGATCAGATTAAATGTAATAAAAGCTTCAACGGACGGTGTGTAGAACTTGGCTGTGTTAGTATTACCAGCATCTAATGTTATTGCTAAATATGGCTTGTTATAATACTATTTATATTTCTAGACTTGTTATTTTAGGGCTTTATTGTGGTTCATGACCCGGAGGGAATTACGATATTCTTACCAACCAATTAATATTCAGATTTCCAGTCTTAGTCTAACGTGTTTCAGAAAATATATATATATAAAGAAAGAAGTATGTTGGACCCGGTGGAAATCGAACCCACGGACCATTGATTAATAATCAAAATACATTGCTACCATTACACCAACGAGGCCGTCAAACTTTACAACTACAAGTAAATAACTGCGGCCTGACGTTTCGGATGCATACATTTCGCGTTTTGAACCGTTAAGTCAAAAGAGGAGTATTTCTTAACAAGTGGTAGGATTTAAATAAAACCACTTTAACGGTTTAAAACGCGATATATTAGTTAAACTTATTAGAAATTGATTTTTAACTTCGGCCCGACGTTTCGGATGCTTTGCAGCAGCCGTGGTCACGGGGAGACGTCGGGCCGAAGTTACAAATCAATTTCTAATAAGTTTAACTAATATATCGCGTTTTAAACCGTTAAAGTGTTTTATTTAAATGTGTACTACTCGCGTAAACTATAGACAGTATTTAAGTGGTAGGACAATCAATGAAACATAAAAAATATTAGCAAATAATATATTTTGCAATACACAACTTCGTATTTGAATTATACACGGCATAGTAGTAATATCTCGTTTAGCTTAGCCCACAATTATATACATTCATCAAACATTCGAGTACAAATCGTTTTGTGCTGAACATTTTAATAATAAATTAATCACATAGTATAAATAGATTTGGGGTTGATTTTTCAGTAGCGTTTCAGCCAATCGATATTTTCAGCGTGAAAAATTAACCCCTAATACTTTTAGATCCCTAACTTAACACTAACGTTGGAAGCGCAAGTACTTCGACTCGATTTTAATATAAAACATTTTCGTAATAATCCTTACAATAATCTCTTGTTTACCTTCTACAAAGACATATATTTTATACTTCGCTACACTCAGACTTTCGTATGCAAAGGACACTCTGGGAAATGCTTAGTAGAAAGTATTACGATAGCTTAGAGATAAGAGATCGCTTATAGATCGTAGGAGCCGCTGTCGTCTTTGCCTATGCGCAGCACGTATCGGTACAACAGACCGGATATAACGCCACCAGCGAGTGGACCAACCCAGTATACCTGTAAGAAGATAAAGTTTGTCTTAGCGGTTTAAAACACAAAAGAATCTGTTATTTTTAAATACTTTTAGGGTGCTTTTCAGTCCTTCGACGATGGCAGCTGCAATGCAGTGTGCTTAAAGATGTTTAATTGATTACAAATTAATATTCAGGTATCTATGTATATGCGAGTAGTACACATTTAAATTAAACTCTTTTAACCGTTTTAAACGCGAAATGTAGTTAAAATGAGTTTGAATTACTATTAGCTTTTCACTAGCGTGGGTACTCCTTATGGCTTATAACGACAATCAAGAACTGTAAAGATTTTTATTTTAGTTCAAATAAAGTGAGTTCAACAAAAAGAACAGATGATGGATGTGCCATCCTTTAGGAGACAAATTCAGGAAATGCTTTCCTAAATATTGGAAACATTTTCAGAAAAACAAAGCCTGCTTTTTGCGTAAGCGAATCGATGACATCGACACCAAATTAACTTCGGTACAAACATCCAACCAAGAAATTGAGTCTAATTTGTCTACCCTCAATGAGCATGTCTCTTCGAAGCAAAATAAACTTTTAGAAATATATGATGAACAGAAAACATTAAATTAGGCTGAGTGGCGTTGAACGATCGTATCGTACCTATGTATATGTATGTAACGTAATAAGAAATGCCCCAAAAGTTTTGAACGAAAAGAAAAATGACATTGCCAATATAGCACATAATTCGACAAAGTCTCTCGGTATGGAACGTTTAAAAGATCGCATACGCGATGTACATCGATTCCCCGCCCACAAAAATTCTTTGGCTTCAACAATAAAAATTGAATTCTCGGACACACTAACTAAATTGAATATTTTAAACGCCGCTAAGCGATACAAGAGAGAAAACCCAAGCGCAAAATTAAACAGTGTTCATCTAGAAATAAGCAGTTCCCTAACACCGTTCATTCCGGAATCGTTATCACAATATACCAAGCAGTTATTCGACCTAACTCGGCAATTTATAAAGACCCAAAGGTATTTATTCTGCTGGGTCATAAATGACTAAGTCTTACTTAATTTTATTTATTATTTAATACTTGTGAAAAGTGAAGAACATCTTCAACTGTTAAAAAAATTACTAGATTATCTTATAAGGCATTACTCTTCTTTCTTAATTATGTTAATTTAAGTTCATTAATATTTTTAATGACTATGTAAACCCTGCGTATAGAAGCATATGCAACACAATAGAAGTAATATTTTACTGCGCTTCTTAAGCAATAGACATATTACACTCCTTATTTCTTGTACAATAATAATAAATACTATACAATTACATTTACACAACTATACACGAATTTATATTTATTTATTATATATTAATATAGTAAAGTTGTAAGTGCTAAATAAATAAATAAATTCTTATTATCATTATATATTTGTACATAGTTATAAATACTTAATTACGCTTGATATGTCTGCCCTTTGTCAGTATAAGTTGCATTATAATGCAACGATGCAATTGCAACGCTTTCTTCAGAACAGCCTGCATATGAAAGTACAATGGACATCATTATATTTGCATAACGCTGAGACGCTGTAATAGAATCCTATCGCAATGCTAATAGTTTTTCCGGCTTCTTATTGTTTTCCCGACTGCGGAAAATGCTTTGCAATTGGACATTGTGAATACATTGTTACGCAGACTTTTTCTTGGTATACGATAAGCATCGTGTTCTTCAAAAGAAGCGGTTATATCAAATCTATGTGAGAAAAGTTAAAAAATGTTCCCTTGTTATCTCATTATTAAGCGGAAAATGGGTTTTCCCCTGATTCATTCGTGACGTCCCGATAAAATTTTAAATAATTCTGTGATTGAGATGTCAGTTTATGTACCTGCCTATAAACCGCTGTGATCCATGTGCGAGTGAAAACAATTTTTAGGAAGTTATACATTCTTTGTACCGTGATTTTTCTTCACGCCATTCGTAAAAAATAACACTAACAATTCACATTTATCACTCCTTTCATGCACACAATATGACATTCGCCAAATCCATTCAGAATGGGAAAACCATCAAATTAAGAAGAAGAAGAAGATAAAATAGACCACTGAAAAGACAAAGAAAAATGTGTGCTCCTCACGTTGTGGAATCGAAATTTCACACAAAAAGAAACATATATTTGTCACTAAAGGACGCATTCTTTACTTAAATATTTATCATTTTGTTCTGCATACTTTTTATTGTATTTGTAATTAATTCTTTATAGAATGTATCTACAATAACTTAGCGGTAACGGCGTAATAAATTGTAGGTCATCGAACTATAAATTACATTGAGGATGTTTCTCGAACCCAGAATATTCCATCGAAGACATATCAACGCATTCTACTTTCACTTAACATCACGTGAGTGGTCAACATAGCTTAATAGGATTAAAACAACTATGTAAGCGTTAGCGCATCTTTGAGATATTATATTAGATTGTATTAGAATTATAACAATCACTGTATTGTATTAGAATTATAACAATCACTATCTGCCTCTTGCGCACCTAAACAGCAAGAATGTATTTAGTTAATTATTGGGAAAACCCACTTTTTTAATAAAAGAATTAACAAAAATGTAATTACAATTTGTTTAGCTTTTTATTGACATATTTTAATGTGTTAGCTGGAATTGATTATGGAACTAAATTAAATTAGATGCCGTTCATACCCAAACAAGCTTAAGGTTTAAATAAAACACTTTAACGGTTTAAAACGCGATATATTAGTTAAACTCATTTGGACACGTCTCCCCGTGACCACGGCTGCTGCAAAGCATCCGCGAAGTTAAAAATCATTTCCAAATAAGTTTAACTAATACATCGCGTTTTAAACCGTTAAAGTATTTTATTTAAATGTGTACTACTCGCGTAAACTATAGACAGTATTTAAGCTTTAGGTAAATTTATGTAAAATGTACGGAATATGTGGCACCTTTGTTTATTATCTTGAGCCAGACTAATTAAACGATTCATTAAATATGACAAGACGAGATTATTCGGTTTACCAACTGTCTGTTGTATTATCGCAGTGTATAACCAAACAGTTCTTAAAAATATATTAGCTAACACTTTTTTACAACAAAGCATGTGTTCTACTTGATGGAAATTGAAATTATCCAGCCATATAAACATCTGAACAGTCGCTGTCGGCCTTTGTACTTTTGAAAGAAGTCCACAGACAAACGTCTTTTAAACACTTACCCAGTGTGATGCCCAGTTGCCCATAACAAGAGCCGGCCCGAAAGATCTCGCGGGATTCATACTTGAACCAGTGAATGGAATCTGTATGCAACAATTGTATAATTAAACTATTAGACAAGAAAAAGAAAATAGAAATAAGTCTCCACTGAGGTGATCTCATTAATATGAGAAAAATCAATATATTCAACGGAAAAATAAAATTGATTGTATACTATACATACACAGGCAGCATGGCACGCTGTGATACTGAGACCAATGGCGAGTGGTCCAGAACCCTTGATATCATTCCTCCTCGCGTCGCAGACTCCTTGTACGACCAGAACCAGGACGAACGTGATAAGAGCTTCTATCAGGACAGCCTAGTAACAAAAATAAAATAAACTAGCTGTGCCAACGACGTCCGCGTAGAATAGTTATGTTGGACATCAAAATAGTTTATTGAAAATCTCCTCATCTTTATAAACTTAAGCTGTTACCCACGACGTCGTCTGCGCCCCGTCGTTCTCGCAAGTTAATCTTCTAATATGGATATATACTATCGCGGACATTTTTTTAGATCCCTCAAAGAGTAATCTTTCTTTCATACTATATACATACATATTTTTTTGAGTATCTAGAACCGTTTACGAAGCGCACGTAACGGAAACCGTCGAAGATGAATATTCAAACCAGTCGTTTCTGAGATTAGCGCGTTCAAACAAACAAACTCTTAAGCTTAATATTGGTATAGATGTCTCAGTATATTAAGATCTTCTCCTCTGTGTCTTTAAAGCTCGCTTATAAACAGAAAAGGAACTGGATTCCAATCTCTCTATAAAAGTTACAACTTGTATATTCATTTTACAAACTGGAGTTATACTTACTCAACATACAAATATTTACAAGCGTATGGCTTTTGTAAAGATAATGCTTTAACACTGTGAGCTTACCTGACCATCAGTAACACCAGGACCCGGTAAAGTCATACCAAACGAGAGTACTCGGTCTTCGGGTACAGCCAACTGTAAAGAGATGAAATTAAATGATGTATATTTAAGATTCAGGTATAAAAAAAAGATAAATAAAATAATATAATTTATAATATATTTCAAAAAAAGATCTATATTCGTCACAAAATTTTTGTCTGTTCGTCGTGATTCTACAGAGTGTTCCAAGGAGCAACATGACAGAGAACATCCAAAAAACTCAGTACGGCTTTTTTAAAGACGTGTTATAAACTAGTACATTTTTGTGAATTGATTAGCCTAAGGAGCAATTTATATCACTGCCAGGCAGCCTTGTCATTGACGAAATCTTATAAACAATATACACCTTTTGAGACAATCTAAATTTGACGACTTTTAAAAAAAATATTTATTGATAATCTTGCAACCTCAACTGGCAATGTATGTATGTATTATACATACGAAAACAATTCCCCGCAAATAAATTTGTTATTCAAATCCCGCAAATCATTCACTCGAATACACGTTAATTAACTTATTTTTTATATCTTTCTAAAAACACGTTAGCGCGCTCCCGTTTTTTGACGAGGTACTAAATTGTGATGTTGACATTTAATCGCTTGGCATATAGAGATGTGGTGCAGAGCTTTATTATGGTAATGGACTTGTTCCCCGGCTTTGCTGTCAAGTTTGATTCCATTGAAACTGTAACAATGGTACGTAGGTGACCTAGTATGTTAACAACGCACCTATGTTGCAATCGCCTAGATAGCTTAGTAGTTATTGATTATAAAATCACACACCTAGTTAATGTTTAATTGACAAGGCAATATTTTTATAGAGGAGCTCTGACGAGCCATATAACATCTAAATAAAACACTGAATAAATTCAAATAATTATATCTCTAATATTTCAAATGCCTACGTGTTTATTATTTAAAAATCGAAAATAAATTGAAAAAATTGTTCAACTCAGGCAGGACTTGCACCGGCATCGTCACCGTTCCGTGCTGTTGCTCTACCAATTGAGCTACCGAGTTCTACACCTCATCGTCGATTTTTTTCAACTTATTGATACATACACCTCTCACCTATTAAGGAGACGTAATTTTTTTCAATTTATTTTCGATTTTTAAATTATATAGTGCCCTCTTGTGCGATAACATAAAAAAAAAATTCAGTTTTCATACAACAGTTGCGTTTTTGTAAAAAAAACCTTTTATATTAATTTTATTTTGCTATATCTTTAAATAGAACACTTTTAACGGTTATTACGTAAAATATATAAGTTAAACTTATTTGCAAATTAATTTAACTACGGCCTAACGTTTCGCATGCCTTGTATCAGACGTGGACCCGTGTCCGGATAACAGCTTAAACTTATAAAGACGAAGAGGAGGTCTGAAAAAATAAATTTAAATGCCCAAAATAACTATTTTAAAGTCAAGCAAAGTCTCTAACACATCTAGTAATTAATAAAGATGAAGAGGAACAAAACAAAATAGACGAAATCGCTGGCACAGCTTTATATATTTTATATATCTGCTGCATTTGTCTCATTTCTCAGTCTTCACGAATCTTACCGCAAGTGATAACTTCGTAACAATATTTAGGATTGCGCCTTCATTTAACTGAATCGTGATCAATAAATTCAGTGAACTCTGCACAGTTCATGAGATATTCGTTTTGCATACAATGTATGTTATTTGTCATATAGATTAATTCATTTAGCTTTAATGGCTACCTAACTACTCTTCGCGAAAAATACAATAATAAACAAATTTAAACCCAATTGATTTAAATTAAATAAAAATATATATATTATAATAATACATCAATTTAATTATTTAACAAGATAACAATATTGTACACGAAGCACGAATCAAAATAACCCTTTTTTCAGTTTTGTAAGCGGGGACAGACAAGCTTGAGGTTCACTTAACGATAGGAGAAATATTTGAATACAACACTTTAACGGTTTAAAACGCGATACATTCGTCAAACTTATTTGAAAATTATTTTTAACTTCGGCCCGACGTTTCAGATGCTTTGCAGCAGGGGTCACGTGTACTACTCGCGTAAACTATAGACAGTATAAGACAAATATCCAAATTATAAGACATTAAAACAAAATGCAACGTCGACGTATTTTGGCTCTGGATAACAGATCCACAGATTAAAATCGAAACGCGTTTAAACTCCACAGCTGTTCCATCTGTAGACGGCAGCACCTACCTACGTCACCCGGACAAAATTTCGATATTCATACCAAACATTTAGTGCCTGGTTTTCCAGACGAAGTCCAACATGTCTGTTCACTAAAAATTGATTAGGAACCAAAAACCCGTGGTCACGGGTCTCCCCATGACCATGCTGCAAAGTATCCGCAACGTCGGGCCGAAGTTAAAGTCATTTTCAACTAATGTATCGCGTTTTAAACCGTTAAAGTGTTTTATTTAAATGATTAGAAAGCAGTTTGACCCGGTGGGGATCGAACCCGCGACCCTTTGATTATTAGCCATACTTGGCTACAATTGGACCAGCGACTGCGCCAAAGTTTAGTTAGCGAGTGTGTAATTATTAAACAGTTGACACAGCACGATTTATGAGATGTGCAATCGAAAGTGTATGTGTTAAGAAGATACACATACACTTTCGATTGCACATCTCGTCATTAATCTTATAAAAGTCGTCCCGCCAAGGTCGAGCTCCAATTTGTTCTATTATTCGATCATCATCAGTGTCACGAGACAGTTCTTGTCATGTACAATTAACACCGACGCAGTTTAATAGCGTGAGAAAATTCTTCTTGCGAGTTTGAAAAAGCAGTGTAAAGACAAAAAATAATAATAAAAAACTGCAAACAGATGAAAAAGTTTTTTTTATATTGCGTTTGAAACTGCCAACAGTGTCTTTAAACTTTGATGTCTTCGATCAATTACTTTTTTACTATTATTACACAGTCTAACAAACGTGGGACTTTTAAGTTTCGGGAAAATCCGGAGTTTTACCTACTAAGGTGAAATTCCCAATTCCATAACATTTAGTTTAGACGACCCATTTTTTTGGACATTCGGACTTGTGTATGCAGTGTATATGTGTAATTCTTTTGTGGGCAAGAAAGGTATATGAACGTTTTAGATTTTAATTTCCTTATTTGAATAAGGAAATTAAAATCTAACCTTTCCAACATTGAATTGATTCAACGTTGGAAAACCCAGAAGACAAGCAGTGAACACGCCAATGACGTACGATACTCAGAAGGATATTAAGTTGTTAATAAATTCAATCGTTCGGTGGTTTGATCATATCTACACTTTTCCCCACTCTCTACATTTGCCGTGATTTTTATTGTATTCATTAGTCTTTTTATTTTTCTTTTACGATCCTTGGAAACAGCTACTTTAGAAAAGAAATAGAATATGCAAATGTTTTGGCCGACAAATTATTTGAGAAATATTTGTATGATATAATACTCACAGAAAATGATATTGAAATATGAAATTGATATATTGACGTATACAAATATTAAATTTAAGTAAATAAAATACAAAATTATATAAGAAATACATAGAGTTGCATGAAAGTTATAAGCAAACACATCCTTTGCTTAAAAAAATGTGCTTACCCTGATGAAGGCGGCTCCTGCAACCGCACCAAGAGCCTGGACCACGATGTAGAAGAGAGCTTTGATAAGTTTAATGTCTCCGGAAGCAAACAGGCCAGCTGTGACTGCAGGGTTGATGTGTCCACCAGAAACGTGTGCGATTGCCTGTAACAAACACATTTTATTACATAAAGATACATTTTGTTATTCACGCCTAAAACACAAAAAAAACAATAAACAAATCTTAAAAAAATCCTTTATTTCAAGCAAATTAGTATCACAAAATTATACTAGATTCAAGAAATTTCTAAAATGGACGGTCGAAAACTGCGGCGTCGCTTATGCGTATTTCACGTATACTTACAGCAGTGTTATACCTATATTAGAAGTTAATATTAATAAAAGTAATTAATCATTACAATATTTTACATACTATTGATTGAAGAAACAATTTTTTTAATACGGTTTTTCGTGCATTAAAATAGTTTAATCAAATAGCTCACTAAAAGTAATAATTATTAAATAAAGTTATTATTAAAAAAAACTGATTAAAACACGATCCACCATTTTATTCTAGTTCTATTGTCTATTATAGATTCTAGAATCGAATTTAAAAGGTACAAAAAGCTAATATTTGATAATTTACATTTATATATTATCTGTGCAATCTGATCGCAATAAAACATCCGGTGACACAAACATCGTGGCGCGAAATCAATAAAATGTACTGTCATTATTAACCTATAAAATTTACGCGGGAGTTAAAAGCTTGCCTTCAAATAACACAGATCGTAGAATTAATTATTCAAAGAATGGACATGAACATCTTTGTAATTACAACAAATGCCTAAGAACTTTAATTATTATCATTAGTTTAATAAGGAAACTATGGGATGTAAGTTTGGTTAATTATATATTTAAAAAATAAAAGTAATTGACAACTAAAATCAGCAATATTGCGTCTATGGTCATATGATAAGGTATCTATGTAGTTACTAACTTCTACGAAATTAAATACAATTTGTATAAAGGTTACCTTATTTTTATATATTGTATATGAGGCTCTTACAGCTAGGGTGTTTCAATGGTAGCAACATGGCGAAACACGAAAATTTTTCGCCCTAGAACCAAGGAGCGTGTCGAAAATGTATATGGATATTTACACTAGCTTATCACAGGTTATCAGGCGGTCACACATACAAAAGGTACCATGAGCATGGCACTCGTCAAGGGCGGCAACAATCCCTCACAGTGTTACTTATGATTTACTTTCGCGAAACACCTTGTCCGTTGAACATGTAAGCACCAAAACCATATTTCTATCAAAAACCCTGTCCTAAATGAAATGTGTTTAAATATTTAAACTACAAAAATAACGCAAAACTTTAAAGGTTTTTATTAAGCTATGGCTTACGCACCTTTTATATTTGATTACGATAGATGAGTACAGACAAGCATGGCATTCACATAATGGCAGGTGAATTAATCCAGGTATAAAACATCTAATTCTTAATTATTTGTCCTGTCAAACTATTTTAGCTTTGGATATTCGGAAATCCACAGACTGAAAACGAAACTTAACAGCTTTATTATCTGTGGACGGTTTAATCTGCGGACTATTCGCGTAAACTACAGGTAGTATGTAGTAATAGATAGAAAATCTTAAGTGTTTAAATTGAAGAGGTGATGAATGAAAAAAAAATGTAGACACAGACAGGACTAGAACCCACGTCCAGCAATGTACCGGATAAACATAGTAAACATAATCTAATTATAATGTTGTAGGTCAAATAAAATCACGAATGCGATATATTTCTCGAACGTAAAGGGCTTAGCTGTCAATAGTTCAGCGAACGCTATGCTGATAGTAATCGAATGTGGGACTCAATTTAGGTCACACATGTTCTTTGAATCAGGCATACCTGTTTTGAGATCTTATTACTCATGTATGATAATGTTTTGATAATAACATCAGTGTTATTGCGTTAATGTGACTTTTACAAGCTCTATGATTTGTATATGCAGATGGGGATGCTACGTAACATTAACGAATAAGTATAGTATTATATAACATACTAGCTATGTCAGCGACTTCGTCCGCGAGAATCGTGATTTTGGACATCCAAATTCGTTATTGCAAACGCCTTCACATTTATAAAGTTAAGCTGTTACCTACGACGTCGGTCGCGTCCCTTCCCGTCGTTCTTACAAGTTAATCTTAAAAGATAGATATATAGCGTGGCGGACTTCTTTTAGATAACTTAAAGAGGAATCATTCATGCACATTTTTTTGGGTATCTTAAACTGTGTTTGCATGATTTGAACAGTAGTTACTGAGATTAGCACGTTCAAACATATAAACAAACAAACTCTTCAGCTTTATATATTTTATGCCAGATATAGCGCCTAGCATTAGTATTCCTAAAAGGCAGAAAATATAACATTCTAAGCAAACTAGCTTGACCCAGATTAAAGTCCTATAAGTTTAACAGCCGTTACCAATACATTGTTCACATACTGCTAGGTCGTATGTAAGCTCGACTAAATTAATTGGCCAAATGTTCCAGTAAAGGTATTTATCGTGCGTACAACATAATAATTACATTATCTGCCTTATAAGGAATTATATAGGGTGTAAATATAAAGGTATGACTACGTACAATTATTTCGCAGTACGTATATAAGAGCCGTGTTAAAGCGTCATGGAGAAACTTAGGTTGAACCTCAACCCTCATGCACTTGACTAATGTAGACTAAGACTTATACAGTGTGCTAAGGGACTCATCACAATCATTTCAATAGAAAAAAAGAGAAATTAGTTTATTGACAATATTTAACCATATAATTTAAAAATCGAAAATAAATTGAAAAAATTTTCGACTCGGGCAGGACTTGAACCGGCATCGTCAGCTTTCCGTGCTGTTGCTCTACCAATTGAGCTACATTTTTTCAATTTATTTTCGATTTTTAAATTATATAGTGCCTTCATGTGCAATGTGAAATATACATGTGAAAAATTTTAATGTTTTCATTTAACAATATAGCAAAATACTTAAAACTAGATTCTCAAGCTAAAATTTTGTAGCATGTCAGGGTTCTGACTCAGCTGAATGCTGCACGAAGGAGATCGCACACCGCTGTTTTTCAGTCTGCTGCCTCTGGCCGAAGTTCCGAAAGGTGTAAATTTATTCTATTAAACTGTGATTCGGTATGTTACGCAAAATTTCATTAAAATCGGCCGAATAGTTTAGGCGCCCGAGCTACATCAATTACCGAAAAACATCACATAACAGACACAAATCGAATGACAATTATTGATAACCTCGAAGTGTACGCTGTCAATTTCAAACATAAAAGGTATGGTAAAATTGAACGAATTTCGCGCTTCTGGGTGAAAAAAGGGCAATAATTTTAAAATTAATGTTATAAGTCCCACCCCTGTATAACTGATGTAGAGGCTTGTGTCCCAGCTGGGGGGATTATTGTGAAGCTCACCCGAAGATTAGATACTCAACGTATCATTAACAATATTTCATCTTAAACAAGCTTTTGGAATCTTTTTATTTTATGTGAATATATAATTTAATTATAATTAAGACAATTTAATTGCCCAAAACAAGTTAATTAAATTTAAAAGTGAAGAGAAAACATAATTTATCATTATTCTACTCGCGAGACGTTTATATTTAAATTTATTTATAATTATAACTTTCATGTGTTACATTATAATTTACATGTGTACCTAATTATTTTTTTAATTACACAAGGAATATTTTATATTTATACACGCATGAATATATGTGCTTGAGTGTTTCTAACAAGCAACTGAAAATAACGAAACTCCACAAGCTCGTTGGTTCAATGGAAGCAATGTAAACAATAATCAATGAGTTCGATTCCCATCAGGTCCAAAATGTTTATAAATCATATTATAAAAAAATGTTCATATTAAATTGGTGGTAGGAATGTCAAATCTACGGTTCACGAACCACCAAACCACAGTTAAAAAAGGCGTAAAATCTAATCGCGTTTCTGTTTCAGTAAAGATTTCCGAATGCCCAAAGCCAAAACATACGACTGGGGTACACCTTCCTTCAAGTGTATACCATGCTTACCTGTCATAAAAAAGAAAATTCTAAACAATGCCGTGTGAAGCTTAGTATTATATTTACATTACACATAACTGGACCTTAAACACGCAGTTAGATAATATATTAACAGTAATAGTTGTAATTTATAACCGACTTTTATAGGTCGTAAATAAACTAGGAGAATTGATGGGGCAATAAAAACATTTTACATAATCACACAATTTTTTAAGCGATTACATTCTTGGAAGTGTTGGGTTCTTTTTTATTGTAGGGTTCCATCGAAGGTTTAATTGTGTTCCGTTTATTTCCTGTCTGCCCCTTCCAGGCAATGTAGTGGACATTATGTCAAATATCCGTTGTTATGTAAAAACATTAGATGGTTAAAATGCATTTTTTAAACTAATTTGCTTAAAATCAATAGACTTTTATTATAATGTGTCCTACTTGCGTAGAATAAAGACAGTAAATACGTAATTAATTACAGGAGTGAGAGAAAGGTACGAAGTTATATAGTATTGTAGATAAAGGTAGTAGTGTATCTTACGGAACCCATCTTACGCGCGTTTGACTCGCACTTGTCTTATCACTGGATGCACTCTAGGTTAAATTGGGCGTTTAAGTAACGTAGGATATAAAAGCCGTTTAGATGATACAACTTAAATGGAACTTAAATGGTTTCTTAAAATTATTTACAAGATGTGACCTTATATGGTATAGTTTATAGGTACACACTATAGAGAGAGCTTTCTAAAGATACACAGAATGTTCTTTATTATTGCGTGTTAAGCTATTTACTTAAAATTATCTTTGTGATTGTGTATCTACTTCCAAAAATTTTTAAGTTAAATTATTTTTTATTACTTGAAGCAAATAGTTGGTTTTACTTCCTAAAGAGAACGTTTCGATTACCTACGTTTGTCACGCCTAATTTAGCTACCAAACTAAACCCAAATTGACATAGTGGGTCTAAACCGAAGAGGAAACGCCAAGCTGTCTAAAAAATAATTTGAAACGATAGAATATTAATAAAAAAATCTAAGTCATGTTTATAGTTTATGCGAATACGGAATACAC